AATAATATTTTTGAAAATTTATTTTTGAAAAAATACTTTTTTTTGAAAATATTTTTTTTGATTTGTTTTTTTTGAAAATTTAGTTTTTGAATTATTATTTGTTTTTGAAGATATTATTTTTTTTTGAGAAATATTATTTTTTTGAACAATATTATTTTTTTATGAATGAGCTTAGCCTTGCCCATGCATCCTACCATCAATAACCATATCATATGAACCACCCTATACTTCTATTTCCACTCAAGCATCCTAACAATGACATGAATGGTGGAATAGAAAATGAGAAAAATGTGACTTTTTTGATGGATTTTGAGGTTGAGACTGTTATGAAATGTTTTGAGTGGAAATATGCATAATGAATAAGGATGACGATTTGAATAGTGAAAAAATGGTTGAAAAATGCTGTTCTTGCGTAGGGTGGGGGTCACGCTCGGGTACCAAAAAAAGATGGGCAAGGCCCACCCTAACTGTAAGATGGTAAGATGGTGGTGTTCCCGCGGGTTCCCACGTTGAAACCAACCACAAAGGGGTACCAACTCCAAAAAACGGCACCACCCGTATGTGTTTGCCGCTTTCAAGTGTCGGTCAGCAAGAGGTCCAATGTGAAGGGCAGCATGTTCTCTTCTCAGGTCCCAGATGGTACTTCTCTCTTTAATTCCAGCAGCAGACAGGGAACTGAGAAACTGCGAAGAATTGGAAGGCCTCAAGCAAATCAGGATGTGCTATAAACCCAACCTCCCAGAACCTGATGAGAAATCTGCAACCAACCAGCCGGAATGATACCACATCATTTCACTGTCGAAAGGGTGCGTCGGAAGGTGGCCAATCTTGCCCTTTCGACATGGTACCGAACTAGGCTGACATGACAGACGCAAGACCCTGAATGTTGGAAAGTGGATGCCATACTGTGGATGGCCGAAATCCATTTCGCACCACCGGAATCAGAAACCCGGGTTTCTGATGACTCCGTCATGTTTTTCAGGTGCGATTTCCGGATTTCGCGAAACCATCCACCGTAGTCAAGACACGTCCAGTGAAGGCTCTCTGCCCCCGATGTCCTGTCAGCTGGCACAGACTCCGGCGCCGGCTTGGTGGCCTCCGCAGGCCTGTCAATCTGGGCCCCCATGGATCTCCCGGCATTGCTCGACTGGACAAATTTCCTCTCGGAAAAAAACGAAGTGATCCGTTCCCGAAGAGCCACTGAGAATGTTCTCTCATAAAAACCACTGAGAATGTTCTCGCCATTCTTTGCTTGGACATGTCCTCTCCTAAAAAACCAACCGGAGAAATTTTGCAGGCGAAACAAAGATCCGAAACCATTGGAACACCCTCAAGCCATGGCACCAAAAGCCGAGAGATACTGGGGATGACAGGTGTCCATGTTCAACATCCTTCAACTGGGCGGGTGCGCCTCTTGGTGACACCTTTGTCCTGAGTTTGAATGAGTGGCAGGATTCTGGACGCAAACCTACTCTTCTGCGGTATACACTATAGATATATATATATATATATGAATACACAGTATACATGTAATGCAAATATATATATATATAAATATATCAGAGCCGATGGAATAACGCATACTTCTGGCACGTGACCTCCAAATCTTCAAGCACGAGCAACTCAAAGCACATCATGTGCATGTATCAAACAAACAAGTGCTTGCATTCAAAAGATCTCCCAGCCCATGAGGGGCATATGGCACATGGCGTTTCTGGCAGCTACAGGCAACACAAGCGGATCGCTTCCCAAGCGGAATTTAAAAGGCCAAATCAGGAGTCAAGTTCTGTCAGTCGCTATAGGGGTGTCTTAAGAAATGGCGGACCCCCCGAAAGGGTGGGTTTCCCTTTGGTCTCCCCTGCAAACAACCCCAAAATGGCGAGCCCAAAGCCAAAGGCGAGCCCATATTTGACCTGCAACTTGTGTGGCCCAAACAAAATGCTGAGTTTTACTTGTGTGGCCCAAACAAACTGCTGAGTTTTACTTGTGTGGCCCAAACAAAATGCTGAGTTTTACTCGTGTGGCCCACGAAAAGACAATATGCCGTGTTTTCCCCATGCATACGACCAAATCCAAATCGTGTGGCGTGTGGTTTCCGGGAAAAATCCATCCAGACACCTCACTTCCCATGGAGCCCGGGCCAGGCCGGAGGCCACTTGCTGCGCACCTAGTGCTGGATGCAGGCGTTTGCTTAGGCAAATAGACTCCAAACACAGAGCCTCCTGGGGCTTTCAATGGAAGACTCGACCCCTCCAAGAGACACCCCGGGAATTGGTGGTTGGGACCCGGTCTCAAAACCAGGTTGTTTGAAGGCCCTAAATCAATCGATTTGGAGCCTCCGGGATATCTTCTCTATATGGTCTCAAAGGAAATATCCTCTATCACTACTCCAGCTATCCATCCATTTTCGGATACGTCCCCTGGAAAATTGAGAAGATATGTCCAGTGGTGAAATCGACCCCCTTTAAAACCAGGGGAAAACGAGAAAATATGTTTGTCGGCAAATGGAAGGATCGGCTCCAGGTTGAGAACACTTTTCTTGCTGGTGCGATAAGCAGGGAATAAAAATGGAATGAACCAAGGAAACCATAAACAATTGTTTATCGGGGTCATGCCATTTCTCATTCCCAGCTGAGCACCAGCAAGATTTAGTGGGCAAATTTTGGTTGATTTACTTGCGTTGAGGGTGTTCCGAAGCTCTATGAGGCTTCTTTCTCATGCCTATGGTGCAACTTCTGGGATACTGTGGATGAGACGAAATCCATTTCGCACCACCTAAGAAACCCTGGTTTCTGATGATTCCCGTGTAAAAACCCGCCAAACAATGGTTACCATGGTTTCCAAGTGGTTCAAAATGGAATTCACAGTACAACTGCCCTGCCTGGTAAAGTTGGATCAAAGTTGCTGAGTCCCAACGGGCCAGCGCTGGCGGCAAGCGCCACATGTTGTTGCTTCCCTTGTGCCGAGGGACTTTGCCTAGGGCAAGGTTTCAATTCGCCTCGGCCCCAAAGGGGCCAAGGGCGCTCAGATCTCTTCTCCAAAGAGATCACCAAAATTTTGCCGGCCCGCCCCCCCCCCCCCCCACCCATGTCGGCTGGCCCAGCAACAAATCATGCTTTTCAGGAAAAAAGCAATTTTTTAGTGATTTTTTGGACAAAAATGGACCCATGGAGCTCGCCGACGAACCCGAAACAGGATTTTGGCCAGGCCTGTCTGACGTGTCTGAGACTAGGCTCAGGCCCAGCCGGCTGCCCGGCAGTGAGCAACCCACCCATGGCTTCGCAGCCTCGTGGCTGAGACCTTCAGGCCCAGCCCAACCAGCAACCCACCTCAGCCCAGCCTGCTAGACTGGTCGTTGGCCTGATGCCAGTCTCAGACACGTTGACCTTGGCACGCTGGGCTGATGAGCCTGCTGGTGGGCTGGGAGCTGGGGGCCGGCCCAGTGGCTGGCATGCCCTGAGATGCGCCGGCCTGGGCTGCACGTGTCTCAAACCAGTCTCAAGCTACGCCAGCTACCAAGCCTGTCTGACGTGCCCCAGCCCCCCAGTCCGGCTGCCCAAGCAGCTCAGCCCAAGCTGACCAGGCCTTGACCTCCTGCTCGTGTCTGGCCCCAAGTCATCCAGCAGGCCCAGCCCACCCAGCCTCAGGCCCAAGTGTGTATGAGACAGGCCTTGCCCATCCAGCGACCCGCCCAAGCACAGCTCAGCCCAGCCCGCCCGGCCGAAGTTCCAGGCGCAACCAACAGCGTAGTCCGGCTGCCCCGCAGCCAGCAACCCACCCATGGCTTCGCAGCCTCGTGGCTGAGACTAGCTTCAGGCCCAGCCCAACCAGCAACCCGCCTAAGCAAACCCCACTTTAAGACTCACAGACCTCACCCTATCTAGCGCCTACCCAGCCCAGTCCGCCTGCTGGCCAGGCCTGTCTGACGTGTCTGAAACTGGCCTCAGGCCGAGCCCAGCCATAGCCCAGCCCCCTCAGTGCGGCTGCCCAGTTCAGGCCCAGCGCAGGCTTATCTGATGTGCCTGAGACTAGCCTGTGGCCCAGCCCAACCAGGCGAGGCCGGCTTGTCTGACTTGTCTGGAGCCATCTTCAGGCCCAGCCCAACCAGCAACCCGCGCGAGCAAGCCACAGCCCAGCCCACCCAAGACTGGCTTCAGGCCAGCCCAACCAGCCACCCGCCCTAGCAAGGCCCAGCCCAGCCCGCCCTGCCCAGGCCCCAGGCGCAGGCCTTCCCCAACCAGCAGCCTGGTCCGGCGCATGGCATCAATTGGCCCAACGTGCCCCAGCCCTTCACTCCGGCTGCCCAAGCAGCGCAGCCCAAGCTGGCCAGCCCTAGTCTGAGCAAGCAACCCACTCAAGCACGGCCTACCCCAGCTCCCCTTCGCTTCGGCCCCGCAGCCCACAGCTTAGCCAGCACGCCCAGCCCAGCCTGCCCGGCCTCTCGGCGCAGGGGAAATACAACGGCACACGCTACGGCTTCTGAGCAGGACGGCTTCCGAACATCGAACTAGCACGGGCGAACAGGTGCGGTCACAAGCTCTCAGTAGGATTCGGACCTTCCCAACACTGGATTTCGGTGTTCCTGACCCTTCCCTCAAACTAGGCTGGGCCGAGGCGGGCAACGCGAAGCGTTTACAATTAAAGGTTTGACTCAGAGTGGTTTCAGTATTGTAGGGCTGGTTGATGGCTGGCTAGCTTAGGTGTCGCATTTGGTTGGATTAGAGCTTGGAGCACTTGAAGATTCCATTGCTATCATGTGGGGCTTGATCAAAAGGTCCGGTACACACGGGATGCCCATTGGCTGAAAACACCGCTCAGAAGGTTGATATGTCAACCACTTTGGCAAAGTATATGTCCGTGAGTGACTAAGCGCCCCTTGGTCATTTGGGCGCCGAAGGAATTATTTTACAGAAAGGGACCCTGTGAGTGTCTTTTTTTTTAAGGATCAACCCCCAAATGATCAATCTGTGCGCCCAAGATTCTTTGATTAGAAGCTGTAGCTAGACCAAGGGGACCACAAACTCACCAAGCTTTGGAGGACTCAGCCTTCGCAAGGCCTATCATATCTGCGAAACGTTTCATGCGGCAAAGGCGAGCTGAGCGCTGATTCTAAAGCAGGCAATGAGGAGCATTCCGTTCAACAACCATCCAGTTCCTTTCTTTTTTTAAATAATAATAATAATAGTAATAATATTAATAGGGGGTGTTCCTCTGTAGAAGTGCTGGTGCCCCCTGGGGCCAAAAAAATATATGGGATCAACATTGCTCAGCTCACCCTTTGGTTTGGATGGGTGGTGTCGTTCGTCCCATTTGCCCTTTAGAATCAGGAAGACCAAATCCGAATCCAATCCAAAAGCGCCGAAGCGCCGAAGGAAGGCTCGGCCATCTCAAACTTCCAGGGTCCAGTACCCATTTGGTTTCTCACGAAGCCTCCGGACTCGGAATGATTAAGGCCCGAAAAAATGAGCCGCGTGGATCAATGCTCAAATCATCGACCCAAACCCAGGTAAACGAAATCAAAAGGCGGCCGCGAGAAGTTTCGGCTGGGACTGGCCCTTACGAACCTTCGTCTACCCGGGTTTTGAGGTTTTGGGGCTCAAACTGTGGTTGCCAGCTCTGAGTACCGAAACCGGCCTCAGACTGCAAGTCCGGGGTTGTGAACGGCTCGCCCGGGTCATTGCCTGGCAAGCTCGGCATCCTGTAACTACCGAGCAACAAGTGGACGCAAGGTCTGCGTTGGGTGTCTGTGTGTGTGTGCGTGTTTGAGGCCGCCCTTGTCGGGATGATCTTAGATATGCTGGTGCCCGGGGTCCCCTCAAGAAAAACCCACTTGTGGGATGGTTTCCTGCGGTCACTCCATTTCTCCTTCCCTATCGAGCAAGTAAGGGGACACCGGCCATTTCGAGGATTTAGCTACCCCCATTTTCAGACACGAACTGACATGGACCTTGAGGACTTCGGCAGCCGGGCAGCAGAAGGGTTGGTTTACACCCGGCTGGGAAAGTGGTGGGTTTTAGGTGGCTACCTATCGCGGTTCGGAAAAAAAGGAAAAATAAGGCATACCCATCCCTGACTGGGCTTCCTTTTGGTAGACTCAACAAACAGATGCCATGTTTGGCAACCAGCTTGATGAGGTCAAAAAAAGCTTGTTGTTCGCTTGATTTAGGGATCTGTCGGCTCTTGGTTCGCAGTGAAACCCGTGTTCGTTAGATGCGGTTTGTGGACTGGCTGTCCGAACAGCCGATTGATCAAGCGACTGAACAACCAAACCACAGAATGACCCACGGTGCCCCAACCTACAACAACCAGCGATCTGGCAGGGAAACAGCAAAATATGAAGAGCAAGAGCAAAGCAACATCAATAAACTCAAAGCAGCACACCAAAGCAAATCATACAGTGTGTCATACAGCCTGATGGCAAAGACACAAAGCAGCAAGCAGGAAGAAACTACTACAGTGGCTTACCATGGCTGTTCAGAACATACCAACCAAACAAGTCGTATTTCAATTTTTCGGAGGCGGTTTTTTAGTGAGCCGCGAGCAAAAAACCGTTGCACCCAGTGGCCTGAAAGAAACACCTAGCCCCCTTGACTTGGTCAACCTTCAGACAGTAGCCCCCTTGACTTGGTCAACCTAGCCCCCTTGACTTGGTCAAAATCAATCCGTTCTACCATCACTTGTGTCGAGGGCAAACATGTAAGATGGCACCAAACCTGGACCACTTTTGAAGGGAAGCAAAACAACAGGGGGTCGAGACTGTGGAAACAACTTGCCTGAGATTCCCAGATCTCAACTCCATGTTTTGCGGTGAGGTGTCTAATCGACCAACAAAGAACTGATCGCCGGCGGTGGCGCAAACAAAACATTCGTCGACGAAGAAGTGAACTACCCCCCAATGACTTTCAAATCCCTCAGCGATTTGAATAGGCATCATGTCTCTTCCCCTGACGAAAAAAGGAGGTATTTAAAATGGGTTCAACCAGGACTTCCAACCCACTAACCTTGTGGGTATTCATTCTAGTTTCTTCCCCCGCTAAAAGGTTGTAGACCTGTTGAAGGCTTTAACGAAAAGACAAAACGCGCCATCTTTGTTTCCGAAAGCTCCAAAGCGGGGGGCGATTCGGCCACAAAGCCCAGCCTTTTCGGGTGTGAAAGGTGAGAATCTAACCGGTTTGCTCAGGAGCTTGCCGAAATGTCACATGTTCCAAAGTTGCACCCATGGGTGATCCTTGGCATAAAAACAAACTAAACAAGCGCAATCTATTTCTAACCCAACTAACCAATTTGATGGCTATTACCCCCTGCCGAACATATTTGGTTTGAACCATGTTCTCTTGAGAGACAATGCTCGCCTGCCCACGAAAGCTCAACCGGGCATCCGTTGAAAACCTTGTCTTTCTAGGGCTTCACATGCACCACTTTGGAGGAAGCTCCCGATGACTCAAACGAATTGGCTTCCAAAAGGTCTAGGCGCAACACATTACAAGCGCGCCATGCTTCAATAGGAATCCTACAACACGAACCCCAGCGCATGTTCATCTCGCCATCTCACAATTGGTCAAGATGAGTTAGAATCTGACTGCTGGCACTGCCATAGTTAGGATGGCCCCAAGTCACCAAAACACCGTCCGCCACGATGGCTGCAAACGCAGCACAAGTTGCTTCTATCTGCTGGACTCGTGCCAGCTTCTCTCGCACCTGGTTGCTGTCACCGCCAAAGTCCGGATGGCCCCAAGTCACCACACAGCCGTCGGCCAGAATGGCTGCAAACGCACAGTTTGTTGCGTGGATCTGCCGCACCTGCACCAACTGCTCTTGAACTTGGCTACTGTCACCGCCTGCGACAGGATCGCCCCAAGTCACCACAGAGCCGTTGTCCAAAATCGCAGCAAAAGCACTTTCTGTTGCCTGGATCTGCTGCACTTGAACCAACTGCTCTTGTACCTGGCTGCTGTCACCGCCCCGTGCAGGATTGCCCCATGTCACCACAGAGCCATCATGCAGGACAGCGGCAAACGCACTGTCAGTTGCTTGGATCTGCTGTACTTGCACCAACTGCTCTTGCACCTCGCTGCTGTCGCCGCCGCACAGCTCATAGCCCCAAGTCACCACAGAGCCGTTGTCCAAAATCGCTGCAAAAGCAAAATCAGTTGCCTGGATCTGCTGGACGCACACCAACCACTCTCGCACGCGGCTGCTGTTGCCGCCCTGGACAGGATCGCCCCAAGTCACTACAGAGCCATTGGCCAGTATAGCAGCAAAAGCACCTTTAGTTCCTTGGATCTGCTGGACCTGCGTCAACTGCTCTCTTACCTGGCTGCTGTCACCGCCCAATTTGAAATTGCCCCAAGTCACCACAGAGCCGTTGTCCAGGATGGCAGCAAAAGCAAAGTGAGTTGCTCGAATCTGCTGGACACTCACCAATTGCTCTCGCAGCTGGCTGCTATCCCCGCCCCAGCCAGGATTGCCCCATGTCACCACAGACCCATCGTCCAAAATCGCAGCAAAAGCACTTCGAGTTGGCTGGATCTGTTGGACACGCACCAGCTGATCTCGCACGTGGCTGCTGTCGCCACCACAGTCAGGATCGCCCCAAGTCACAACACCCCCATGAGGGACATAGAGGGCAACTGCCCTTCCTGTGGATGTGAGTTTGACCGGCTGCACGATGGCCGAAATGGTATCCCCATCTCGCACGCCCACCTCTGCTAACATAGATGCATCATCTAGCTGCTGACCCCCAAAGGCAAGCCTCAGAAAGCGACAACTCCATTGTTTTTGCGCCTGAGCCCTAAGCTCGCGGACACTTGTTTGGTCCGGCGAGAGTGACACGGAGCAGCTCTTCCCACTTGGCAAGCAAACATCCAGTTGCATGGCGAATTGGTCAAGGCTACACCGACTGCAAGCTCAGCCAAAGGCACGAGAACTCTTCACCCCTGATTGCAAAATGATGCGCCCCCCCCCAGCATTTCCGTCTACATGGACCCTCAAACTACCATTGGTAATTCATGGGACCCAACCCCCGCCCTCCTCCATGAGTTCCATTTCTAGCCGCAGGAAGCCATGGACCCGGACAGCATATTCTCACTGCCGATGCCGTGCACCAAACATTCGAGTTCAAGCTTTGCCTTGCTGGTGCGTTAAGTAGGGAATGAGAAATGGAACTAACCCAGGCTTTGGTGCAAGAATAAAGGAAATCACCAGTTCGATGGTTTATCTCGGCACACTGAAGCCCTGGCTCCTTGCACGACAGGGGCGATCGAGGCAGGGTACGGCAGGCAAATGGGTACGACCCGGACCCAGTAGTAAGCCTCGCGGAAGAACCCGCTGAACGGGGACTTCTTCCCATGGCAAAAGAAGTCTTCGGCGCTGCAGGTCCCCCAGCAAAGAGTTTAACGGTCGGAAGCACGGCCGGACGAGTTGTCGGACCGCGAGCCGGTGCACGGTTTGCTGCTCAAAAGGAAATATGTGGGGAAGCCAAAAAGTTAAAGTCGAAAGATCCAACCCAACAGCAGTAGAGAAGTGGGTTCCCTCACCATGGTTAGTACTCACTTCCCTGACGTACCCTGCCTCGATCACCCCTTTAGGTATCCTATTGTCCTGTTGGTCAGACGAGAAGCACTGGAGAGGACTGGAGGCGATCGGCTCGGGGCTCGGGTGTTTGGTGCCAGAGGGATGCGCCTGCTTCCACCGGCAAGATGACTTCAGCCTTCAACTCGATGCCCCTGCGAGCGAAGAAAATCCCAGCGCAAAGCATATGCATTTGCGGATACGTCCCCAAATGAAAAAGTGAGAACATATGTCCAGTAGTGAAATCGATTTCCTTTAACACCGACTAAGGGAGAATAAACAATATTCGGAAGCAAATGGAGCACTGTGAGTAGAATATGGCCCATCTCTTTCGCCTGCAAACAAGTAAGAAGAAGCCAATCAACAATCAAGATCACTTGGGCCACTTTGACAAGCTGAAAACCCTGCCAACCTCCAATCGACTGGGCCGAGCATTGACCAATGCCTTGAACCTTCGGTTGAAGCTCGTCAACACTACACGCAGCTCACGAGCCATCAACAACCATCCTGCTCACAGGGAGGAGCCATGCAGCATGCCCACTGTACCAATGCACGCACGTGCATTGGTCCAGTGCTCGCTTCCAGGGACATAAATAAGCACCAACCAGGACCCCCCAATGGCTGGCAAATAACCGACCAAAACAGCCATTGGCAATTTATTTTCTACCGACCATCTGCCAGCCACTGGGGGGTCCATCTGCCTGACAGCTTACACTCCCGGCCTCTCGCGCACCCAACTGATCCAAGGCTTCCAGGTGTCTTCCTGGCAGAGTCCATGGGCGAAGTGGCGAAGCAGCTCTACCCGGCAGCTAAGCCAACTTGGCGGTGGGTAACCAATGGGATCCCATTTTGTGGGTAGGTGAATTCACCACCCATGTTAGTCTAGTTTGGTGGGGGTTGGGATGTTCACTACGGGCTGTTGACCCATGGCCACTTGCGGGCAACGAGGCATTGAGTGTCTCAAAGTGCCACCAACTTGTGCCATCCGGTGGCAAATCTTGGCCCGGGCATGTCAATGACCGCATGGTGGCAGCTGCTTCCAATGCAAATGCACTGGCGAGAATATGGCAGGCCCACTCCACTTACGAAACCTCGCCAGCTCTACCAAAAGGCTCCAGGTTGGGGGTGGCTAGCTGAAGGTTCTTCTTCTTCCTTGCCCCGCTGTGCATGGACGAAAAAATCCTGCAGCACCTAAGAACCCCTGGTTTCTGATGACTCCACTGTAAACAAAAACAATTTCAGAACAAACGTTGTGGTTTTAACCATGGTTTCCTTCCGTGTCGAATCCGATTTCTGGCTTTCCTCTCCCTTTACAGTACGAACATTCCAACATTTTGAACACCCTGGCACCAAACGACGTATTCCAAGCCCGCACGCGTCGATCCGATCCCGAAGAAGGCTGGCCGAAGCAAATCGAGGCCGAAGATCGAGAGACGCTTCGCACCTCCGTCTGCAAGGTCTCGCCGTTGCCGAAGACCACCAGCCCGCGCCGGGCACCTCCAAATTCGACGCAGCGATTCGTCGGCGACGATTTTGGATGGGCCCCAAAAATGGGATGGTTTCGCCTCGTCTAGGTTGGAGATCCAACCAAACTGGCGCTTTTTTTCGGCGGGTTCTGCGGTTCTAGAGATACCACGGCGAAACCGTTTCTTTTTTTGTGTCTCAAGCCACCAAAACAAACAGGTACCCTCAAACTGGGTGGGTTTTCCATTTGAGTTGTCCTTGAACACCCACCAAAACAGGGGGTCCTCTAGGAGAAAACACACTGGTACAGTTCCATTTGCTGATGTTAAGCCCCTGAAATAAGTGAGAACATATTTCCAGTAGTGAAATAGATTCCTTTTCAAACCAACAGGGGGGGAATAAAACATGCTATTAATATTAATGTTGAAATGGCGTTTTTGCTCCCTGGAAATAAAATAATATTAACAAAAAAAACATGTCCTGTAGTGAAATAGATTCCACTCACAAGGGGAAAATAACAAACATATTTATTTCAGCAAAATGGGCGGTGTTGGTTCACGTTGAAATCCGTTTCTGAAAATGGGTCGCGTTGGATGGCGTTATATGTGGGGAAACCAAAAGAAAAAAAAAAAACAAAAAAAACCTGAAAGAATCTGAAGGAGCTGGTTTTGAGAAACATCCAAATTGGACCAGTATGAAACTGAAGGTTCCCACTGGCACGTTCACAACTGGCGATGTGTGATAGCAGATTTACCTTTGCCGAGGGGCTTGTTCAACGGAAGGCATCTGTTTACCGAACCCACAGATCCTCAACACCCGGCTTGTCACATGGCACGTATTGTTCCGTCAATATCAAACCACGTTGAGAGAAATGCGAAACCACTAGATTATAGATGCATTGCCTCAGGATGCCTCACGGTCTGACTTGCCGCAGGTTTGTGACAGTTTGTGGAGAGGCAACCACATCCATCAAATCAACCAATCCACTTTCTTCAAATGTAAGCAGCCAATACTGAACTGGGCTGTCCTCAGATCCCCCGCAAAAAGTTTTACTTTTAGTGGCTTCAATGGAAATCCCCACTAAACACTAAAAGGCTGAAAGCTAAGGGTATGGCTGGAAGCCACCAAGTGAACAAACCAAACCTATCAAACTAATCCACCACTTCAGTCCAGCGCCACCGCATGTCGAGCTGTGTCTGTGCCCGGCACGTGTAAGCATCACGTTGGCGCGCCGCGGGTCGCGCATGAAGCCCACCTACAGACTCGATTTCCGTGGAAACCCTCGCACTTCGAGGGTGGAAGCATCTGGGTCCGATTCAAGAACTGATATTTCTGGGTGAATTATAATATTTCACCAGCCTGAAATAAGGTGGTTGGGGGCTATTCCCCACATAAACCACCATTTTGAGTAAGGTCGTATGAGGTCGTTCTAACCCACCCAGATACTTCCATTTGCGGATACGTCCACTGGAAAATAATGAGAACATCGTTTTCCAGTAGGGAAATTGATTCCCCTTAAAACCAGCAAGGGGGGAAATATAACAGAATCATCTCAGCAAAAGGAAGAATCACATCCGTCCACTTTGGGTTGAGCCACCCCAAGTTGATCATAAACATTCTTGCCAGGCCTGATTGAAATGTGTTTCTCGTGGCATCAAGGAACCGCAAGAGGCTCAAATTCCGCGCATTTTGGCTTGTAGAGCAATCAGGCAATAAGCTTCATTCGGTCTGTTTCTTTGCTCACATGTCGTCATGCTCTAACTGGGGCAACGTGAGCCATGCTCTGAGTATAATCCAACTATTCACTACAAGTTGTTATTGTCGTAGTATGGCTGTGGGTCGAAAATAGGTACTCAAAATGAAACCCTGGTAAGTGGAGAAGCAGACTAAAAACCAGCGGTTTCTGGGTGGTTTAATTTTGACACATTTCCATAAATTACCTTTATGTACTACATGCAAACAGCATTGGCATAAAGATCGGTTAAATCATTATTGTATTCACCGTGAATTCAAACTAAAGTATTAGATTCTTTAAGACGTATTCCAGTGGAGCTGATTGATGGGTGACTATCATGATCAGTTTTCGAGGGAAGCTATTCTTTTTATTAGAGTGTTCTTACCCGCATATCATACTGAGGAGCAACTGTGACTTCAAATGTGCGCAGGAGAAAAAAGTCGATAGTGAGCCAAGTTCAAGGAAATAAGACAATACCTGATCAAGGTATGTCTGAGCTGAGCAGTTTCCAAAGCGCCAAAACGAGGAGTTGAGATTAATCGGCGCAGAAGTACGTTGTATGTCAGTACCAAGCAGCATTGATCAAAACGAGGCTCCAACACACCATCCAACTGGCCCCTCAAGGGAGACCCGCAACCGAGCTTGTTCCCAAGCGAGGTTATGTTGAACTTTCCCCAAGGTTTGATTGCGCGTGAAAAGCGATCTGATAGAGCCATGATTCAACAAAACACGTCGCAACACTGGGGATCAAATGAATCAAAACATAAGTCCCTGTCATTTAAATCAAATGAATCAAATGAATCAAATCATGACCACGTGAATCAAATGAGTCAAATCTTAACTTCCGAGTTGGCAAAAAGGTGGTGCCGCCAACTCGCGATGGGCCCCGTGTCTCCTGTGGCCATAAGCTATCGCCGCCAAAGTCTGAGAGCCCCAGCGCGCGAGAAAGATCGCACCTGGCATCGCGATTCGGCCGCGAGTCCTCGAACAAAAACCATGAGACATCTGGCTATGAGACCTGCATCTACAGTGAGACAAGTGCCTTGGTTGACGTTGGAAGGGGAGCAACCATTCACTTTTTTGCTGTTCAGTGGGAATTTCCCACTAAACCACAAAAACCAAAAATGTATCACGTTTCCCAACAACAACCATGTGAGTGGAGAAATGGTAAAAACACATCTCCGGCTTGAGACCTCTGCAAACCAAAATCGCATGTCTGCTGCAGTTCCTATGGGCATGGCGACAGCACCTTGACAAAGGTGCAAGTTGGCAAGTTGGTGATCGGAATCCAGGTCCAATCGCTTGGTATATAACGGCGATTTGCGGCGATTTGTAAATAACGGCGATTTGTGGCACACTTGTGTTGGTTTGCAACTGAACATTGCCCTTTGTGTTTGCGGCCCTCAGTCACTGCAGTGTCGGTGATTGGTGCGAAAGTTAATTCAGCTGACCTCCCGCCCCGGCAAGCTCTACGTTGAGAGGCCGCCGATCAATGGTCTGACAGAGGGCTCGAAAAGCATCTTTGCACGCTGATGCGCAGGAGAAAAACATATCCGGATCCTGCTTGCTTGTCGCAAGCCGAATCGCAAAGCCGGGCTTGATCACTGCAAGTAGTCAACTGCTGAACTTCGCTGCATGGCTTCAAACATAAACATCGGTAAACACCAGGTACGCTGTCACAACTTGTTTCCTCCTACACAGGCTGAATTCTGCATAATAGACCAGCTCGGCACTGTGGTTTGCACGGGCTCGTCCAAGACAAGCAAACCTCAAGCGTCTGTCATATGCGGCCTGATTGGTATTCCTGGCCCCCAAAGACCATATGAAACCTTTCCTATTTTGTGCGGAAGTCTCACATCTTTTCAGTGGTTCCTCAACCAATGGTCCTCCCATGTTCCGGACCTGTTGGTCAACCCCCACTGAGCCATGGTCCCAACAGCCAAGGTCGTTTGCAAGTCGACACGTTGAGCCGAGGCACCGTGGACGCCAAGATCAGGTCCCGCTCGGCGCCCTGGGCGGTGCAGAATACCTCTATGAGCCTCTATGTATGCTTAGGTCCCCAGTGCAATCGATTCCCTCTAAAACCAACAGGGTAAAATTTCAGACATATTCCTAAGCAAATGGAAGGATCGATGTTCGGGTCCTTTGAGAGTGCTTTGTTTTTTTCTGGACCCCGGCTTCACCTAGCGGCTCTTGCGCGTCGCGTCAGGCGATGAGGCTGGCTCAGCCCGGGTCCGTGGGCCCCAGCCTGGAATCCGTCCACTGTGTCCACCTGCATCCAAGGCAAAAAAAAACAAAGCGGCGAGCGGCGCGCGCGAAAAAAAAAAAAAAAAAAAACCGCGGCAACACGGCGCGTGGCCAGGCCGCAACTGCAATTAGAACAGCCCCTGAGGCCGGCAATCCGCAAAGAGCGGGATTTTTCAAGGGGAGCCCTTTGGTTTGGAGAGCTCATTTTGAGCTTGGCGGGGAAGAGCCTCTCTGTCAACTTCGGAGGGGGAGCTCCCATTACATGCCAAGTGCCCTGGGAATCCTCTACTTGCGCAGCATCACCCGCGCAAATGATTCATGTAGCTTGTCTATTTGTTGGGAGTTCATGTCATCCAGGAACCTGAGAAGCCTACCCCCAAACCTGTTGAATTCTTGAAATGAATCAACATCCGACTTGGCACATCCAAAGATGTTGTGTCACCAGGGTAGACGCTGTCCCCGTAAATTGAGAAGCCGAAGGCCTACATTTTTTTTGAGTACGGGGTGCGGGCCTCAACCCCGCTCTTGAACGTACCCCTGGACGGTGTTCTTTTCAAATAGCGTTGAGAGGACGCTGCAACGTCTGCAAAAGAAAAAGGACATATGTATCTCAAAAACTCCAGCGCTAGTGGTGGGGAGTAGTAGGAGTAGTAGTAGTAGTAGCAGTAGCAGCAGCAGCAGCAGCGGTCGTAATAGCAACAGTGGCAGCAGCAGCAGCAGCGGTGGGGAGTAGCAGTAGTAGCAGTAGTGGCCGGACTAGCAGTAGTAGTAGTAGTAGTAGTAGTAGTAGTAGTAGTAGTAGTAGTAGCAGTAGCAGTAGCAGTAGCAGTAGCAGTAGCAGTAGCAGCAGCAGCAGCAGCAGCGGTCGTAATAGCAACAGTGGCAGCAGCAGCAGCAGCAGCAGCAGCAGCAGCAGCAGCAGCAGTCGTAATAGCAACAGTGGCAGCAGCAGCAGCAGCAGCAGCAGCAGCAGCAGCAGCAGCAGTCGTAATAGCAACAGTGGCAGCAGCAGCAGCAGCAGCAGCAGCAGCAGCGGTGGGGAGTAGCAGTAGTAGCAGTAGTGGCCGGACTAGTAGTAGTAGTAGTCGTCGTCGTCGTCGTCGTAGTAGCAGTAGCAGCCCTTTAGCAGTAGCAGTAGCAGTAGCAGCAGTAGTAACAGTAGTAGTAGCAATAGTGGCCGTGGTGTCCACTATGGTAAGTGGGAGGCATTTGAACGGGTATGGAACGCATATTGAACGGGTTTCGACCGAACACCCATAGGCGAGCGCTGCCGCCCGGCTGCGCTCTAAGCCTGTGAAATCCAGTGCGGAGAGCTGACCCAAATCGCCCGCGGCGTGGTCGGCGTGCGCGCTGAAGCGTGTGTGAGGCAGGCACTGAGCACACATACCCACATCTCCCGCAGTCGCCGGGGTGCAAATTCTTAGGGCTGCTCGGGAGTGGAACTCTCTGTGCGGCGGCAGCGTGTGGTTGACCACTTAGACCGATTTCCCAAAAATTCAACCTTGAAAATGGAAAAAAGCCGGGCAAACCCTTTTGGGGCAACCCGTTCATTTGGACGTCAAACTACACCCAGCCCGTTCCATCCATCCAATCCATCCCAATCCCCGCCCTCAGCTCCGCGGGGTCGAAGACCAGGCGCTTGGCCAGCTGCGCCACACGCTGCTGCAGCATCTCCTTTTTTGGTCGAACAAAGGACCGCCTTTGACGCGCTCCAAGTAAGGCGCCCTGCCAGCTGTGCTGGTTGGGCGGTGGAGTCGGTGTTAGTGGGTCCTCCCCATAGATTCTGGAGGAAAAACGGCAAAACGATAAAACGGAAAACGGTTAAACCAGCTTAGCTGCAACTTGGAAGGCATTTTACACCCAGAAAACCGGTGGATGGGTGGTTGCGAAATCCAGACATCGCACCACTTGTGATTGAAACCATTGTGCACCACTTGTGGTTGAAACCCATTGTTTATATAGTGGCTATATAGTCGCTATGTATCCCATTAAACAAAAACTAACTCGGGGATGGGTTTTCTTGGGGTCAGTCTCCAATTTCTCATTCCCTGCTACTTTTGCGATTCTGTGGGATGGGTGGTTGCGAAATCCAGAAATCGCGCGAGAGGAAACTAGGATTGAAGCCATTGAAACCTGCTGAACCATGTTGCAATCGCCCAAGCTGTGAACCTCCTTTGGGCTTCCTTCTGAAGGCGACCAGGGCCTTCAAACTTGCTAAGCCGTGGGCCCCGATAGCGAAAGTGGATGTCCCTGAAGGCAGAAGGGGACTAAACCAACAGGGGATTGTATCCTCAGTGGTACCCTCTCCGGGGAATATCAATAAGGGCATAGTGTGTGTGTGTGTGTGTGTGTGTGTGTGTGTGTGTGTGTGTGTGTGTGTGTGTGTGTGTGTGTGTGTGTGTGTGTGTGTGTGTGTGTGTGTGTGTGTGTGTGTGTGTGTGTGTGTGTGTGTGTGTGTGTGTGTGTGTGTGTGTGTATGTGTGTGTGTGTGTGTGTGTGTGTGTGTGTGTGTGTGTGTGTCTGTGTGTGTGTGTGTCTTTGTGTGTGTCTTTGTGTGTCTTTGTGTGTGTTGGACATGTTCATTGGTCAACTCATCAACATGAGGAGCTGCTGCTGTCATGGATAAATAACAAAATCCTAAAGAGTAACGGCTTGCAATCTGTGAGGGTGATCCAACAAAGCTGCCGATGAGGGCAATCAGTACATTAGGGGTGCACATGAGTCTCACAAGCACCTCGTACAAATCAGGGATCCTTACATTATACACCTGAACATTGCCTTGTCAATGATGGTTTCCCTTTATGTTGGTGGAAAAAGCCATGTTTCAAATGGGCAACATGTATCTTTTAAGGAGCCCTGCAAATGTTGAGGATTTTATGAGGGCAAATCCTCGCGAGAGAAATGCCTCCAAAAACCAGCTACTGCGACACCCACAAAAGGACAACATCCAGGTGCACAGAAGCGACACTAATCTAGGTGTACCCTCCCCATGATTTCCAAGGATCCGAATCTTTCTAAAACCCCGCAAGAAACCCAAGCGGCCGGTTTTGAAATGAACGATGGTTGAAAATAATGGGGAATCAATCCCTAGAACTAAGCATGAGATGTCGGGTAAGTACTTACCCCGCCATCTTGTGCTTGTTTGCCTTGTCCTCCTTCAAGCAAAAGCACCTTCAACCAATGCAGAAAGGCGCAGGGGGGTCCTGCTGCGCAGAGTAGCCGGTGATCACGCCAATCTGCAGCCAGCGACACAACAAAATGCAAAACAGCGAGCACCTGCTGAAGATCTCAAGCGCGCGAAATCTTGGTCTGGTGTTGGATTTTCGCTCTCCGCAGAGCTCATTTTAAACCAGATGAACTGCCCCCAACTACCCAGCCTGCCCTGAACAGCAAATTAAATGGAACATCTCACAAGCAAACGGCCTTTGAAAGTTTTCGCGGCTGCATGCCTTGATGCCTTCATTTGCATCTGTCACTGGCGGGATGACTGGCAAAGGACGAAGCCGCTCCCTTCTTCCAAAACCAAGACAACCCAAAAAGCCGCTACCTTCAAAATCTTAGGGCCTGCCTCTAACAATAGCTCTTTAGGACAAATCAGTACTCATTTCAGACCAATTTGATACCAATATTTATACCCATATCCATATCAGCTGAATTACATAATCAAATGCACCACACCACACCGCGCACACACGCACACTCACACGACACACACGCACACACACACACACAGACACACACAGACAGACAGAGAGACACACAAAAACGCAAAGAGACACACAGAGACATACAAAGACACACACAGATGACAAACACAAAGAACCAGCTCCGTGCTTGCAACTCGTGAAGCCAGCAACCTGAAGCTTCACAGGGTCCCATGAGAACCGCTTTCTTTGGGTGGCGGACGGGACTTGTGGGCAATCACCTCATCAAAGGCTCACTTGCCGAGTGGATGGCCCCAAAAAAGTCCAAGCTTGTTGTTTACCACGAAAATGGTCTTCCCAAAAAGTTTGAAGTTCATGAACTCAGGAAGTGAGAAGGATACCCAAATGCTTGCCCTCCCGCTTGGACGGGACCTTTGCTCATGCGACCTTAGGAACCGTTTGTCACTGGGAGGCATCCAAAGCGCCCAGAACATGTTGCAACGATCTCCCCTTAAGGTTGATACCCCACACCACACCGGCCATCAGATACCATAGGTGGCCAAAACTGGACAAATAGATGGGGCTTCCCCTGGTAAATGGATGGCATAAAGCCCAATCTAAAAAAAGTGGCTTGCCCATCTGTTTCCAACCAAACTCACCGATGAAAAGGACACCTACTGTGGATGGACGAAATCCTGCACCACCTAAGAAACCCTGGAATGTTGATTCCCATGTAAATACCAATGAACACTGGTTTCAACCATGGTTTCCAAGTGGTGCGATGTCTGGATTTCGCAACCATCCACAGTATGGCTCATACCCAGCACCTTTTCGGCAACGCAGCCGGGGCCTGGCATGGCTTCATGCCCGCGCTGAGGCACCAAGACAGCACTTCCAGCAGCACATCTGCCTCTGCGGTTTTTCAACAAACGCCTGCGGTGGGGGTAGACCGGCGGGGGTGGGAGGGGTGAGGTGGTGGGAGGGGGGCTGTTGTGAGGGGGGGGGTTGTGGGGTTGTTGTTGGGGGGTGGGGTGTGGGGGTGTGGGGGGGTTTTGGGGGGGGGGGGGGGGCGGTGGGCGTTGCTCCCAGCTTCAAGTACGTGAACTGCAACCAAAAAAAGAGATGGGCTTCGAGGAGATGTCCTGAAATTGCACATCCAAAGAGTGCTCATAAGATACACAAATCCAAATGTGTCCAAATACAGGAACAGCACTCCTGCCTGAACAGAATCATCTACACATCAGCATAAGCACATCATCTACCAAATGCCTGGCCTCCCGAGGATTTGCGTGGCTGCGCCTGCGCTCCTGACAAGCCAGTGGGACAGCAATCCGAGTTCATGTAGCGACCAGGCCACGCAGAGTGGACTTCCATGGAGAAAAAAGGGCATCCTTTTTTGGTTGGACACTAAACCCCTGCTTCGCAAACCCTCCAGTGCATGAAGCGCTAGAGAACACTCCGCGAACCTTTCGAGGTTAGTTCCCAGGCAGTTCGGTGTGAAGCTCCCACAAAACAAAGCCTGAACTAACAGCCCGCTGATGAATCTGGGGGTGTCAATGCCAGCGGAGTTGGGGATGCTAGTTCAGCCTGAATCAAATCTCCCAGCCGTTAGTCAAGCCCCAAGGAGCCATCCACCACTCCGCCGCCAAAGGACGGCCACCGCCTTCCCAGTCGCGCCACCCCAAGCAACCGGGAAGAACCGCAAGCACGGGCATTTTCGAATCAACCTGTTCAGCCTTTGCTGGTCGGGTCCAAAGCTGCCAGTCTAAATCTGCAGCTGCCCCAAAATAACTCCGGATCGAGATTTGGAGAGGGTCTCCGGCTCTCGACCCGCGCCTCTCCCTCACAGAAGCCACACTCCACAAAGGCCACGTGGTACTCCGGGTTGGGCCAGGGAAACCTGGGCCGGTGACTTCGGACCTGTGACTCAGGCCACCACCAGTCGAGTCCTTCAAGCCCAGAGTTGGCCAAAACCAGCCGCTCGCGGCGAAGCCACCAAGCCCAACTTGCCCAGGATAAGCTGGGTACCGAGGAACAGAAACAACCCGAACACACTCTCTCTCCCTCTCTCTCACGAAGATTCATGTGATTGCAGCGTCTGTCTTGGTGTAGAATTCCCGTGTGCCAGCAGCCTTCCCATGGCCATAGTGTTAGTCTTATCGTGGTCTTGCGGTCGGATAGTCTTCGTATTGTCTTTTCCGTTGACGTTTCGTCTATTTTATCTCTACCATCCGGCACTCATTTCAAAGGCGTTCTTGGCGTTCCTCATCAGCTTGCCGCGGTTCGCGGTGTTTGCGTGGGCGTGGTTTGACACAAATGTCATTCGGAATGAAACTCCAGAAGGTCACCTGGCACCTTTGTTCGGAGATCTCAAAGGTAAAGCCCCAAGAGACAAGAGATCCCTCAAAAGGGAGGGGGATGGGTCCGGGACCCAATTCCATTTAACCAGCTTTCATGAAAGGGACACAACTGGAGCCAATGAAAGATCTCCAGAGGTCGAAATCCCCTCCCCCACTCACTTTTAGGGGGCCCGGTCAAACTGAAAAGAGGGCTGTCCTCAGATTCCCTGCTAAAAGTTTAGCTGGGTCCAAAGGATTCCCAACCACGAAACCAACGAAAAACGACTATGAACACCCTGGATCGCCAGTTGCGCTCGTTTTTTTTTTTTTATCCATTGAGCTTTACCCCAAGCAACGGCGACTGAAAAAGGCGATCGCGACTTGGCGATCTAGGACATGTTTGGAGGCGGATGGCTGACCGCCAAGCAACATCAGCACCAGGCACTCCGCTCCGCTCCGCTCCGAGGGCCAAGCCCCGGCACTGGCTGCCGCTGCTTGGTCTCCAAAGCATCGTGCACCGTGCCATCGTAGAAGGCCAGGGAAGGGAACCTCTGCGAAATCTCGCTGCTTTAAGAAGTCAAAACGGCCAGGTTTTATCTGGATCGACATAGATTCCATAAAAAAGGGGTGATTTCTCGCAGGGTGTAATAGGAACACTTTGCTCTGCCCAAAGCTGAGGCTTGCTTGCACTGGACATAGCTGCGAACAAAACAGGGTGATTATCAGATTCTCAAGGATTGGTGTCATCCGAAACAGCAAAGGCAAGTCAACATTTAGACGTGCGCGCGCGCGTTTTTGGCGCAATTTGAGCTATTACAAACCTTAGTTTTCCTTAACGCTTTGCTCCCAACATAGGCTAGCAAAGGCTGATTTTTGGGAGGGTGTAATCCCAGGGTGTAATAGCAATACCCTTAGGAACACTTTGCTCTGCCCAAAGCTGAGGCTTGCACTGCGCAATGGACGGGTGCATCCGTCGCTGCTCGTCCAACTGCACAAAGCCATTGCCTAGAGGTGCTTCTGCGAATTCTAGACGGGGGCTGGCTAATTTGGGTGTGTATTTTCAGAAGGAGACCCCTAGAAAAGGTTTCCTTTGGCCCTCAACAAATGCCCCAAAAACAGACAGACCAGTCTACCAATACACCATCCTATTCTTAAGTTGGAAATTCCAGCAGGCAATGTACCAATCACCATTTCTAGCCAAGACCTGTCCCTGTCGTGCCCATGACCTGAGCTTGCCCATCCCACTGAGGCCGGAACCCATGCGCACCAACCCGTCCCGCACAAAGCGCCTGAAAGGCACCCAGCCAATTTGTGGATGGGCCCTCGAAGTCCATCTGGTGTCTGATTCGATTTCCCAACGTAAATGCCAACAACTCACTGGCTGAGTGGATGGCCCAAAAAAAGCTCATGAACTCAGGAAGTGAGACAAACGTTATGGAGTTTCAACCATGCTTTTTTCCTCTCGTGGTTTTCGAGACTGGCATGGATGTCGCGAAATCATCCACAGTATGAGTGCTTCTCCGCACCTCAGCTCTGAACGGGACATGAAGACGTGCCCGCATGGATTCACTCTTCGTCACATCGCCTTCAACATAACCATGCTGTCCTTGACAAGTGAAAATGCATTGGACTCACCGCCATGTACAAATGAGTCATACTCAAAACCTGGTATCAACTGGTCCACCCAAATGATCGTAAATCCTATATCCTTATGCCTGGGATTCTCCCAAAGCTTCATCAATCCCCAGGTTTTGAGCAAGCATCGTTGCATCCTGAGCTGCCGCGCTCGAACATGGAGATGCCGAGCCCGCGCTGAAATGCGAGCGGGTGGTGGATAGTGGCCGGGAGCTGTTTCTCATCTCCCACCTCAGTTTTTTCAAAACGCGTCGCGTCGCACGGCCTCTTGGAGCCCTGAGTCTGTGACCAATGGGATACACCAGGTGACTGGACAAATCGATTCTGGCTTCCCTGGATGGATGGCACAATCTAAACCAGTGGCTTGCCAATCTATTTCTCACCTGGATGGATGAGTGAGTAGCCCATCCATTTCTCACCAACCGATCAAAAGGACGACCACGGATGATTGTGAAATCCATTTTGCACCACGAAGGGAAGCCATGGTTGAAACCAGAATGTTCGTTGGCATTTACGTTAAGAACTCATATCTGAGAAGAATCCGTTGGGTTTCTTAGAACGGCGGTGCGAGATTTGCGGATTTCGCATCCATCCACGGTAGCATTTGTGGGAAGGTACCTGGAAGATGAATTTCCTCGAGGGGCCAGTGGGTTGCCCATCATATATTTCTACCCAATAGAAGAAAAAGGACACCTATGCATACAGCCAAGTCCGTGTTGAAACATAAAATGCCCCCCGCAGGACCCATTGATACACAAATGTTTGCTCGAGCTTTCGTGGCAAATAAGTGAGCGAGTAACGGAAAATGCACAAACACACTGATTGCGGGGCAGCGCTTTAGCTTTGCACACTTTTTGGAATCGCGCCCGAGTTGCGGAAAACTGCGCCCGAGTTTTCTCTCGAGCACTTCACCAAAGCAGCTAGGCAACCTCAAAAAGTGCTCGAATTGGATTTGAGCAGACAAAAGCGCAATGCCGAAACTGTCCGGTCCTCCAGGCCGTGATTGAACCAGGAATCCAGTGGGTTGCCGTTCTCTGCTTCTCTACTCCAACCAAACCAAACCAGAAAAAGCCCACTGGAACCCAAACGAAACCGCCAGAAAAAGCAAAAAAGAGGAAAAACAACAGCGGAAGCCATCTCCTGTTTTCTGGCCCAAACCCAAAAACATGGAACATCTCTCCATTTTTCTGACCCGTAAACCCCCCAAAAATAGAACATCTCTCCATTTTTCTGACCCAACCCCCCGCCAAAAATGGAACGTCTCTGAATTTTTCTGACCCAAACCCAACCAAAAATGGGGGGACACACCTGGCCATGTCCTTTCCCTTGTCGCACTCGACGCGCTCGCTCGCACGCGGCCCCTCGCTCGCGGCTTCGTCTGGGCGCCCCCCGCCAGGACGAGGCGCTGGCAGCCGTGGGACAGGGGCACCCAGGGCCCGGGCTCCACCACCTGGGCGGCCTGGCCGGATGGGGGTGGATGGGGGTGCTGGGGGGAGGCGGGAGAGGAGGGGAGAGGGATGGGAGGGGGATGGATGAGGTGCTTCTTTGTTTTGCTCTTTTTTGGGGGGGAGGGGGGGGTTGCGGTGTTTTTCTTGAGGGGGAGAAGGAGAGGGGCTGAAGTTAATCTAAAGGTTGGGGGGCAGGGTAGAGGTAAATCCGGAAGGCTCGGGAACAGATCCTTTCGATCGATGCTTTTGATCCCGCGCATCACAGGCAGGAACCGGCAGGACCCAAGGGATGTTCTTGAGTCGGACTTCCGACGCAGAAGCGCTAGAAGTCTACCTTGCAGGTTGAATGGATCTCAAAAGTTCCGTAATTCGTTTCTAAAGGAATACAAAAACTTGGCCATTGACCAGCCAAAAACCAGTGCACACTTTTTGGGCCACCACTGAAATAAAGGGAGAGCCACCAAGTAAAAAAGTGTAAAGTGATGTAAAGTGCGGCCACTGGCTGGGTGAGAATAAGGCGATGAATCTTCACCAAAAACCAACAATGGCAAGGATGCACCGATATATTGTTTGTCTGTCACAGATTTGCTGCTGAGTCACGCACACAACTAAGTTATACACATGATTAGAGTTAGGCCCAGTTATAGAATGTATATTTTGTTGCTTGCTTCACATGGAGTCACTGGTAAAATGTAAAATGTATCCTAAGTCTACCCCAGTACAGTAGCATGTATCGCCGCAATCGCCAAAAAGCTTCTGGACACATCAACAGGAACTGATGGCTTCCACGCTCAGCTTCCCTCGCGGTTTGGATTGGTGGTTTAAGTAGGGAAGGTTTCCGATATACGCCGTTCGACAAAAAATCCGAACCGCCAATCCAAACCATCAAAGTGTTACCGGTCATGCCGAAACATTTGAAGATCATGTGTACTGATGGTAGCCGTTCGCATTTGTCAGTGGGGATTCCCCAAATGTTTGTGGCGCCAAATCCATGCCCCACCTCATCCACCACCAACAGGGGCAAGGTCCCCATGCCCTGCAGCCTTGGTGCAGAAAAACGCGGTACATTGTTCTGAAACTAAATCCACTAAAAGCAATGTGACTATGTTCAGGGAATCCTTCTGAGCAAAACACTGACCAAGGGGAAAACAATCACCCCTCTTCTGGAGGCTCAAGGCCAAAGTCATACTCCGCTTCAGCACACACACACACACACACATCGACAGATTGATTGCCAAATTTATGTTTGGGACCTAAGCTTCTTGCGCTGGAAAATTATGTGTACGAAGGCTGCTCTTACACTCTTACACACACAAACACGCGTGCAACACCTCAAACAATAAGTGCTAATGCCAGCCTGGCATCTTGAACTCTTATCACATTGCCCGAACCTGTGTAGCAAACAGACTCGTGCTCAAGCAAATTGGAGAGACCTGTGGGTATTGCAGGCAGTACCATCTCCATTCCAGCACTTCAATCCCAATCTCTCTTGCCCCGTCCATCTTTTCTGGCAGCTCGGCATAGCTCACCAGACAGCGACTGGAGTCTTTCAATGCAACGAGGCGATCATTCGCTCAGTCCTCTGCAGCCTGCCAGGTGCAGGTTGCATTAGCAAAACACACGCCCGCACAACTAGGTCCTCCAGTTTTGAGAGGTTCGAATAAGGGGACCAACTTTTTTATTTTAGTAGGGGAACCCTGACCTAGACAAGTCAACCTGGCAAAGGGAACGCAGCGACTGAGAAGCATATGGCACCCGTGGAAAAAGGTCCTGTTAAAGGGTGGTTCAACCAAAAGGTGAGGCCCATCAGAACCCAGGACCCCCCAATGGCAAATGGTCTGTGGAATGACCTCCCAATAGCTGCTTTGGGGGTTACTTGCCAGCCATTGGGGGGTCCTGGATCATAAAGGCGGTTTTCATTTTTGGTTTCCCTTGACCCACCCCAAAATTTGGGAAAACGACACACTGCCAAGCTGGGACACCACCTGACACCGCATCGATCGCACGGAAACCGCGGGGAACTTCGCGCCTTGCCCTCGAGCCACTCCAGGCGCCGCTTCAGCAGGTCGTTCCGCCGCTCCATGCGCCAGAGCTCCCTACAGCTTCGAAGGCTTCGGTTCCCGCGGCTTCCCAGATTTCCCCTTAAAACATCACCCCAAACACTCACCTTTCATGGGCCGAAAAAAGCGACGCAAAAAAAAACGGCAAAACACGGGGACATATAGGGACCCCTGCCATAGGCAACACAACATACGGGTTTTGAGGGCACACCCCAAAAAAGGGGTGGCGATCCCTTTGGTATTCCTAACCGACCGAGAAAAAAAAAGGTACCCTAAAAAATGACACACCCCATACCAGCCTTCTAACTTCTTACTTGAGATAAATTGGAAAACACCTCTTGCTAGGCAGAGTCCTTACATTGTCTCGGTTGCTTTCTGCTCCGCTGCTAAAAGCTTAACTTTTAGTGGTTTAATGGACAACCCATTAGTTGGATCAAAAAGGCGAAAAGTCCCAACATCCCTTGGCAAAATGCAAAGTTATGCTGCAACCCGCTGCTAGTCCACCATTTGCTAAAACGCCGCGTCTTTGGATGCCGAGCCAAAGCCCCCCAAGGCTCGTGCGCGCAGAAAACGAAACGGACACTGGACTCGGCTCAACTTGTGACCGCCCAGTCCGATGGCATCCAGCTCTTAGATTCGACTACGCAACGCGGTCCTCCAGATTTGAGAGGTTCGAATAAGGGTACCACCCTTTTTCTCAGTTTTGTCTATTTTAGCAGGGGAACCCTCCTCTCAAAAAAAACGGGGTGAGAAAGGGCACCTAGCTGGCAAACCTAGGCAATGAACATCCGCCGGACTTTTGCTTCTTGCTTCTTTTTGTTTTAAAGAAAGGTTGCAAGCTTTGCCGCGTGGGAAGCGCGGAAGCACAGCGAGCCTCTCCCTTTCGATTCAGGTCCCAAGTTGTGGGAGAGAGCAGTCGAAACCATCTGGCCGCCCGGCCTGCTGAGAGACGCCACATGGCGATTCGCCACACCAGACATTTGTTCCAGGACCTCAGTAAGATGGCAAAGATTGGAAGGTTCTTCCTTGCAAGAGAGGCACTTTGCATTTCATTCTGGCAACTTTTATCTATGAATGATTGAATCCAGATGCTTTGTATTGATTGTCTGAAACCTTTGGGGTTTCTCATGGGAACTATTGTATTGAACCAAGATCCTTTCAGCCTGAGCACCTTGGGTGCCCTGCGCTGCGATTGGTCTGCAGCGAAACCTGCGCGCCCGAACTGCATGAAAGCTCCCCTCGGAATGTGTGAGAGGGACATGGCCATCGCAAGGCCAGCTGCGGAGAAGAAGATCGATCCATGCTCCCGTCGAACTCTCAAAATGTCAACCCCCTCCATTCTGCGATTCCTGCAACTACACAAAAAAAAGACCCGCGAAGAACAACAAAAAAGGCTGCCCGTGCACATGCACGAGGACGGCTTCAGACATGTGCACATGTGCAGCATCAGCGTAGTCTTGGAAAACCTGCCCATGCAACACGTGGCCTTGACCTGGAACAGCGCACTTCTGACCAGTATACAGTATCAGGTTGCTCAACACTGCCTCGTCGCAGTCAAACACCCAAAAAATGAACCAGGCTTGCTTGCAACCAAACAAAAGCAAGACTCCGCAGAAGCGTACCTGATGCCACATCCATAGAACCAGCATGAGCGACAGCATGACCTGAGACGGGACAGCAACCCCTGAAGCTACACGCTTTGTCAACGCTCACAGGTTTAGTCAACAAGAAACAAAAAACACTAAGTGGCAGCTTGGTGGTTGGCAACAGGTTGCTCAAGCACTATACTGGCTGGCAACGTGGTCAGCAGCTACGTAGAATCTTGCAAGCAACGCTGGGAGAGGTCCAATCTGACTGTGAAGCCTTCGTTGTCTACAAAGCTTGTTTGCAGTGCACTGTTTCATTGAGCACAACTAGCCAGGCTGCGGTGTCTACGAGTCAGTCTTACTGAAGGCAACAGGATGAACGCAAAAGCCGATGTGCCCGTGGCAATGCGGAATACAGAAAACACCGAATAGCTCAACGGTAAGATAACGTAAGCAACCTCCAGGCTAAAGAGAACACCACCACTCCACCACTTGGTGCGAGAGAGGCCAGGGGAAGGAGAAATGGACTGACAGGGCTCCCTATACTTCCCCTTAAAACATCACCCCCACCAAGGGATACTCACCTTTCATGGGCCAAAAGGGTGATGTTCAAAACCGCCAAAAAGGGAACTATAGGAATCGACCCCTGACTGACCCCTCTGTGAACCCTCCAACTGGTGGGTTCCTTTGGGGACCCCGCAGCCTGGGTGTTCATTCCAAACTTCCTTCCCATCGCAGCAAGATGAGATTCGCGCGTGGGACTCCAGCGGAGTCATCAAAACCCGGTATTTTTAATGGTCATCCCAGAACCATGACTCACCCCTAAGGGTCTCGAGTGATTTTGGGCCCTCAAGATGGGTTGTTTGCAAGGGCCCCTGGAAAAATCCGACGGCCCTACATTGGAGGGGTCATGAGCCTTAGGGCCGGCATTTAAATGGTCGTCCCAGAACCATGATTCAATAATTTTCAGAAGGCGGATATCCACAGCAATTTGTGGCAAGGAGAGTGTCCCTAACCTCCTTCAATCCAGGAATCGGTTTTGAGCAAGTGGCTCAGTGCGCAACTGGAAGCTGCTTCTGGGGTTGTCACCAAATCTCCCGGTGAGGAGCTGAGATGCCTTCTATTCTCGGTTTGACTAGGTCCTCCAGTAGACAGCTTAGAATAAGTTGGTACCAACTTTTTTCTGTAGTCTATTTTAGTAGGGGCACCCTCCCAACCAAAAAAGTTGGGAAAAGGGTAAAAGGGCCCACAATTTTCTGATATGTCCGTGTCTCCTTTCAACCATATTCCCTGAGATTGCTACTTCCCTGCTTAAGGGAGCGTTTAGTAGGGGCACTTTCCCAACCAAAAAAAAGTGGGTAAGTTTCTCTTTTCTCCATTTTACCAGGGGCACCGACCATCTCCCAACCAAAAAAGAAAACGGCCACCGGCTGAGAATTCGGTCGGGCACCTCCCCCCAAGCAGCGCAGGGGGACCTCGTGGAGCTCCGCTCGCGGCGGCCCGGCGCGGCTTGGCTCCGGGCCGCCACGATGGAGCCGCGGTTCTGCAGCGTCCAGTCGTAGGCGCTGGCCCAGGCCGCTTTCAGCCTGGGCAACGACTCGCTGAAACTTCCTTTGGGCTAGGCTCAGAGCCTAGTGCTCGGAGCCTGGGTGAGACCCCAAAACAGCCATGGCTGGAAAGTTCTAGGGGTTGAGTCCAAAAACAAGAATACATCTCTAATGGTTGAACGTTGGGGTTTTCACCCAATTTGGGCGTGTCTATCTTCTGAGGGTGCCCGGTTTTAGAGGTTTTCCAGGGAAGCCAAAAGTCTAGGGTTTGATTCCTTTTCCATTCTTTTCAACCATCGTTCTTTTCAAAAACCAGATTTGTTTCCCCTGGAGTTCTGATGGTTGTCTGGAAAGAAGGATCCCTGCAAAGAATGGGGAAGTGTCCCCTAGAAAAAATCTTCCCATTGGCTGAAATTCGCCCACGGCCAAATATGATATAGATTCCCTTAAAAAACAACAGGAGAACTGCTTCCTTCCATTTTTCCGGGAATAAATACACATATGTCCAGGAGTGAAATCGATTCCCTTCAAAACCAATAGGGGAAAATAACGCATAGATTCTGAAGCAAATGGAAGTGTCCCCTCAACAAAACTCCAAAGCAGCAAAAGTAGAACCCCCAACATTGGCCAAACTATTCCCTGGAATTAGATTCCATGTACCTAAAGTGATTTGCTGTTGATTCTGGAGCATTGCTGTAGTGGACATGGAACTTGCAACGGCATCATGTCAGAAAGCCAATTGTCCCTCTCCCGCCCAAAAGATTCATCGATGTTCAGAAGCACACGCCTGGCTCAAAACTACTCAGGTCTTAGTCTTGAGTTTCATTTACCCAAGATGCCATTTGGGTGTGGCTCAAAATTAAAGTGCTAGGGTTACGCAGGTCTTAGTCTTTGGTTCCATTTCCCAAGGTGCCATTCTGGTACATGTGTTCGAGCCACAGCCATTTTGTGTTTCCATGTTTTCGAGCCACCGCCAAGACCGAAAGCTTCCACCACCACTGCCGCGAAACGAAATCCCTCACTGGTGGCCGGGGGTGGCGGCAGTTGCCAAAGATGAGGTGAAACCGCTAGCAGCACGCAACCTTTTGGGTGGCTCGAAGAAAGGGGGAATTGAAGCGCATGGCTGGGTGAATTGATTGGCTCGGCTCTGGGATTTGAAGCCCTTCTGGGTACTTGATTGGCCTGGCTGGGTCCAAAGTGGAACACTGGCAAATGAGAAGGTAGACTAAAGCCTGGTGTGCGTGAAGTAGAAGCAAAGGTTCAAGGCATATCCATGGTCAAAACAAGAGACACACAAAATCATGACCAACATGCACACCCACGACAACTTGGTTGTTGACCCCCCTGCAAAAGTTTTTAAGTCTTTGGGGGGTTTAGCGGAAAACCTTTTGATTTCCCAAAAACTTAAAGTCTAAAGATCCAACCCAATAGCCAATAGCAGTCAAGACAAATGTCGTGTTCTTCAGCGGGACCTGAATGCTGCCAAGAGTGGCAAAGCATTGAAAGGTGCTTTTCCAAGCGAAGTCTCCTGGGTCCCCCGGCGGCAGTTCCAGCTGCCAAATCATCTGTCCTGCGCAAAGAGGCAGTTGGAGCATGGATAAGGTGACCGGCTGAAGCCAATAACTCTAGGGGTACCTTTTCCATTCTTTTCATGCATCCTTCTTTTCAAGAAACTATCAAAAACCGAGGAAAAACAGCCGGTTGATGAAAATAACGATGGTTGAAAAGGATGGGGAAGCAGCCCCTAGAATGACACAGCTACATTCGCCCAGTTCGGATTCGGATCTGGAAACGAAAGGTGATCACATTTTGGTGCCACTAAAAGTGGAAACCCAATCGCAGAAACCAAAGGTCAAAAGGTCGATCCGCTTTGGGCAACGCATGCTCAAGGCGCCGGCGAACGCACGAGTGTTAAAAAAACAAAACGCGACCAGGACCCAAAACAGCACAGATCTGCGAGCGCACCTTGCCGATGCAAATATGGCCATGGGTCAAAACCCTGTACCCCTGGTGAACATCAAAATAGGTGGCAAATGGATGTTCATCCCCGCCAAAATGGAGCCATAGGTTATGCCCCATGGCCATATCTTCTCGGCTTGATGCCTTCTTCTTCCTGAATCCTCAGGCTTCCGCCAGGAAGTTCGGAAGGGCTGGCGCCCAAACCCCATCCAAGGGCTACAGTATCACTTGACTCTCAACCCGGGTCTCGATTGCGAAGGTGAGCGTCCCCAACCAAACTGCTCGACGGTAGCTTGCTGCGGGCCCTTCGAAACGGAGTGTTTCCCCTTCAACTCTCATGCGTGCGACATTTGCAGCACCGCTCACAAGCAGCAAACTTCCCAAGGACATTTGGTTGGGCGTCAGAACCTTCTAGTTCATTGCAAGCAGCATGCTGAATGCCGAATGCCGGTTTGCAAATGCCGGCATGAAGTCTCTACAATCTTTGCCGCAATTCTATTGTAAAAAAACTGAAGATACTGTGAACGCTTTTCTTGCAGCTCGGAATGGACTAAACCCTAGGCATAAATGCTTACTCCCAACACCAACAAACAGCACAAGTAGGTGTGTCTGGGACCCCAAAATGGGTAGGTCTAAAGCTTTTACTTTTCTTGCTAGTGCTCAGGGAATGAGGGAATGAACCTGGGAACTCCCTTAAACGGAAACCACCAGTTGGATGGTTTATAGGGGTCATTCCATGTCTCATTCCCTGCTGAGTACCAGCCAGTTTTGGGGTTCAACCTCAAGTGACGCGTGGTCTCCAGGCCTGCGGCTTGAAAGCCGTCCACAGGCCCACAGTGCCTGCCGAAAACAAACCCAGCTACGGCACGCGGAAAAAATGGCGCAGAGAGGCGTGACTTGCTGGTGCAAAACTCGACCCATATTGGGCTGGTCTTTGGCCTCCCTGCAACAAGCCAAGCAAACGCGTCATGTATGCTGGTGGGATAAGTAGGGAATGAGAATTTGAATGACCCCGAGATAAGCCATCCCCGAGCTGATTTCCTTTGTGGGACATTGGTTCATTCCCAGCACCAGCAAGCCGTAAGCCGTGGGATGATGGAACTGATGGAATGCCAGCTTTTGTGCTGGCTTTCGTACATGCGCATGGACTAGTTATGCTGCTGCTTGTACGCAACATCCCACATATCTGGAAGCGTAGAAGACCAAACTCGCTGCAACTGCTTTCAAGACATGCGGAAACCCATGCTTCCGCGTGTACCGCGTGTAGCTAAGACAGCTAAGAAGTCCAACCTCTGGAATCCATCCTTGCCCATCTGCGATTGTCCGAAACACGGTAAGCAAACATGCTAATAACCTTGCTGTAGCAAAGAATGAGAATGGAATGAACTTTATACACCATGCTTCCCATGGTTTCCTTTATCCGGAAATCCCCAAATGGTCCATTCCAGATTTCATTCCCTATCGAAAGTAGCAGTTTTTCACAGCTCACACCCAGGAGCCGTTCAAAACGGCCGTTAAAGCTGTGATGAATTCGGCCCAAGGCGCGGCTCGTAGGGCACTGTAATGATCAGCTGCCCCATCACCAGCAGGCCTCGAAGCTCGAGCGGCGCAAAGCGGGGGGTGGGGGGGGGCCCACGCCCCGTTCCGAAGCGTCGGGTTCAGCGCGCAAGGCGCCTGGTCGAACCCGGCGTTCAGTTTTTGGCTTCCGCTGGACATTGAGATCGTTTAGCTGCTTAGCAGACCAGCAGGGTGTGAATGTCGCACTGAGATATCCGTGTCCCACCAAATCAATTCCAACGTGCCAAGTGACACCATTTCCACAAACGGCACAAAATGGAGCCAACTCAAAAAGACAATCAGGGGTCGAAGTTCCCCCCCCCCCTCCGGCAATTCCATCTCTTAAGGGCCCCTTTTGATCTCAGATGCCCAGTGGCCATGCAAAAAAAGAACATCCTTTTTCGGTTGAGTTTCAAGGAATCGGAACCCTTTTCCCCCAAAAAAAAAACGTTCAAAGGGGAGCCCTTGCCCCAAAAAAAACCAAACAAACAACGCACCACTGGGCAAGTGGACGATGCAAAAAACAAAACAAAAAAAACGACCTGGGGCCGCCGGGCCCAGCACCACAAAGTTGATGCCTCGGCCATTTGCGCGAGCCTTTGAGAGCGGGCTAGGTCCTCCAGTAGAGGCTGGAATAAGTTGGCACCAACTTTTTTCTGTAGTCTATTTTGGTAGGCAGTAGGGAGGTTAGAAAAAGTTGGTACTTTTTTTTTTTTTAGTAGGGGCACCCTCCCCCAAAACAGGGTAAGAGGGCACTGGGGTAATTTGCCCTAAAAAAAGAAAAAGAGGTCAGCTTCCCTTTGGCGTCCGCTCAAAAACAGTGCCCTTCTTGAGGGCAGAAGAAGACCCCCAGATGGTCAGTTTGAGGGCATCCCAAAAAAAGAAAGAAAGCAACCCCCCCAGCCAGATGTTCAGCCGTGGTTGGCTGCTCGTACAGTCTGAAGATGTGTTTCTTTTTCTTTTTTTGCGAGCCATGCTTGGTTCTGGCTGTGTCACAACTGGTGGATGGTGAGTCAATTTCACGCGCAAACACCGAGACATCCTCCCACAAAAGCAAGGAGTCTTGAATCTCGCTGACACGTGTGGTGGCCTACTGATTCCTGTGGGCCGGGCAGGTGACCCTCTGCAGCGTCACCAGCAACCCAGTAGTGTCCGTGAGGAAGGGTCTCCTTTTTCACGCACAGCGCGTGGCTCGCTCGGAGTTTCGGAGAACCGGAGAAAGGAGGGGGCACCTCATGCATTGAACCGCCTTCCTGCTCTCCATTGATAAACAAGTTACGACTGCCTTTGCGGACTGCCTTCTGTGGTTTGTTTGGGAAACAAGGATCATCCCATGCGTAGCATGAAGGGCCTGTCACGTGAGATTGTGCATTGTATGAAGTATATGCATACCCGCCCTTGTGGCCTTTGAACAGCGAATCCCTTCTCTGAGCTGGAGTTGTTCAACTAGGCTGAGCTCTGGCTCGCAGCCTGCCTCGTCAAGTACCGCAGGCTGAATCTCAGCCACTTGAAGTGTATGTACCTCGCACCCGTGCCGCGTGCACCCCTACTGCTCGCCACGCGCCGAAATCGAACCAGATTCTCTCTCGCACATGCAACCACACAGAACGAGCAAGGCGCGCGCGTTCCGGCGTCACTTGCGTTGGAGCTGTGGGGCGGAAAGGCAAAGATCACAGACGTCCAGATTTGGGCCCGAATGTTAATGGGGGACCCTTGGGTGGACATCATTTAGGTGGGGATTCATGTCCACCAACCATTTTTCGGTGATTTCCTATTAAGATTCATAGCCGTTTGGTTGCTAGACTCCTATTTGCAGTCTCAGGCACAAAAGCAGCGGGCCGATGACTGCCATATAGGGTACCTGAGCTTTTGCGATCAAACGTGCATGTCACCTGCTCTGCCAGTTCTGTCCAATCTTCGCTCCTCATCCGGGGCTTGGGTCTATTCAAGCATCAAGTCTGCAACCGCGGGTGAACCAATAACATCGATGAATGCATCAAGCTGAAATGGGGGGTTTCTCAAACTGGTCGTCCCCTACAAAAGCGCAAAAGTTGGCGTCCTTTTGGTCTTCCTGTAAACCCACTAAAAAAAGGGGGTGCGCCATTTTGAGAAACCCCCCAATGAGCCACAGAAAAAAAAAAGAAGAAAAAAAACGAGCCGCCCCACATCGAATCGCGATGTGTTCATATGTCATCTCCGAGCAGCAGTGGAAAGGCAGCTCCAGAGCAGGGCAGAAAAGTAGATCACCTCGCTGCTGGCGACTCTTCCTTCCATTTGGTTAAGACCCCTGGAAAAAATGGGAATATTTCCAGTAGTGATAGATCCCTTTAAAGCCAACAAGGGAAAACATATTAGAAAAACAATAAAACACTTAAGCAAACGGAAGCCTCGGTACAAGATCTACGGCTTTGCTCCCACACGTAGCTCGCAAAAAGTCTTGTGGCATGGGGAAGAAGTTGCCCATGAAACTTGGGAGGTAAGGGATGCAATGAAAGCACAGCGTCTGGCCTGCGCATGAAAATAAAGGGTGTAGGTACAGGCCAGGCAAGTTGTCAACTTGCCTCGGCGTCGTGTCTGGCCAAATTTCTTGAAGGCCTCGTTCAGCCGCAAGCGTGGGAGCTCCGTTCGGGTACAGAAGGTGCCCTCTTTCGAGTGGCAGCGCTCACAAAAACCTTGTACCCATAGGTGTCCTTTCAGGGGAAATAGATGGGTTTCCCTGGTACATGATTAAACCAACAGGTAAACCAGGAATCGAAACCCATCTCTTTTTCCAGCAAAACAACCAGAAAGGACACCTATGGCCATCTATTTTTCTACTAAAACAACCAAAAAGGACACCCAAAACCTTGTAGCATTCGAAACCAGCGGACTCCCTCCCCCCAACAAAAAAGAAACCGCGTCCGAGGCGCATTCACCGCGTCATCCTGGATCCTCAGATAGCGACCTTCTCACAGCATCCCAGAGACTTTCGGACGTCTGGCAAGCCAGGCTGCCGGCTTGCGCCTTGCCAATTCAACGTAGATCCACCAAGGAGTTCCAGCAGCAAAATGAGAATTGGCATGAAGCAAGCGCTCTGAACACGCAACTGTGGGATCGCCCTCCCGGTCAAGCGCTCTGTTGACATTCACCCAAGACCAACACGTCGGCCATACAGCTCCAGAATTTTATCAACTACACACTGCCAGCGGGACTCTCCCAGTCATGCTATGATATATCCCCGTCTGTTCTCAGTGAGAAGGTCAGCTCTACAGTCTAAATGACCATATGCAGAATCACCCCCCGCCAAAAAGAAGAAAAGAAAAGATATGATAGCTCAAAGGGCACCCGTATATCAAAACAAGACCATTCAATAAAATGCGGAGCCGAGCTTCCTTCTCGGGGGTGTCTTAAAAAACGCAGAGGCGAGCCCAAGAATCACGAGGCCTAGAATCCAAAGCCAACCCCCGACTTTCCATGACATCTGCTTCAAATCAAACGCAAAGAGCCAAGGTCTGGTTTTGTTTGAAGAAAAGCCTCCCGCTAACATGGCACCTGCGGGAGGTTACCTGGAACATCAATTTCCTCATTGGAGGGACCGCCATGTTGGTGGAAGGGAGGGTATGCTTTTGACCACAGATCTAAATTCCACCGGCCAAAGGTATGCCAAAACGGGCGGTGCCTCCCGAGCCACGCGCGGAAATTTCGCGCGGATTTCCCGGTGACTCCCGAGCCAAGCGGCTGGAACTCCGGCCAGAGGAAGCCACCTCGCGCAGCGGGCTGCGCTCGCGGTGGCATGGGGTGGGGTGGGGGGAGGGAGTTCCAATGAGCCCCAAAGAAGGCAACAAGGGCTGAGTTGGGCCCTGGAGGTGCCTTCTGACCGGCAACATAAGAAAAGGGGCCCCCCTTTGTTTTGGGTCATGGCCCCATTTTTTGAGGGCCATGGAGACTCCAGGTGGCACTAGAATTCTGCTTGGAGATGGTGGGAAGTCCTGACACACACTCTTTGTCAAGTCAGGCGTAATATTGCCCTTGGCCGGAAAGGAACAGTTGCAAGTAGATGAATACGCTGGCCAACAAACAGAAATTCCGTTCAAGAACAGTGTTTTCGAGTGTCAGGATGAACAAGAGCTTCAAGTACCAGACTGTGCTTGGCTTCATTGGTCGAGCTACTGTGAATGGACAAAATGCTGCACCACTTGGACACCGTGGTTGAAACCATTGTTTATTTGTATTTACAGGGTTGCTGAGGTAGTGCAAATACATTTTGTCCATCCAGAGTACCTCCTGCAAGCACAAAGGTTTACGTACGGTGAATTGTCACTTTAGTGCCTGAGTGGCGCCTTGGCAACGAAAGCGGAACTGCACACCAACTCACTATGCCATTTTTCTTTGGGGCTGGTGGGGGAGGGAGGAGAGGGGGAGGGAGCCCAAATAAGCCCTTATTAAGCCCGTGCGGCCTTGTTTGGGGCCTCCCCCCCAGTCCCCATGCCATCAACCCAGCATTTCCAGCAAGGCCCTCGATACAGTGCATGATGCCATGCCATAAAGTACAAAACTATTTTGCGAGAGAACTGTTCAAGGCATCACGTTGTCTCTCCTGTAAGGACCCGCTGCAAGTCCAAACCTGGAATTCAGAGGCTCCAAGAAAGCCGCTCAACTGTTTGAACAAAACAATTTCCTTTCGCGTATGTTCACGTAGCTGTGGGATTTCTCTGGTGCTGTCTGGACGGAAAACGGAACTCACGGGGTGCATTCACAGAGGTGCATTCACAGAACATATCACGATGGCCTTGCCAGTATATAATCAGAGTATTCAGTCACTTGAAGAAAAGCAAGCGGTGTGCCTCCCACAGCCAGAATTGGCTCAAAATTGGCTCAAACCTTCCGGCCGCCGTCGGCGTTCCTTGCCGCCTCGTACGCCCAGCAGGTACTTCACCCCGTGCCGAAGGCCCGCCAGCGCAAGCTGGCAAACGGACGTTGCCCCCTTCTGTGAGGGGGTTCTCAAAAGGTGTCTCAAAGTGGGAGGGACTTTTTGAAAGCTTTCCTTCTTCTCCCCCGAAAAACCGGTGGGAGGGTAATTTTTGGAATGGGTGGGTTGTCCTTGATCTTCCCCGTAACCAAAAAAAACGTACACTCATCAACCCTGTGGGGAAGCGAGCCGAGCCTGGAAGCAACGCTCCCATCTAACAATTGTGGGGGGGGGGGGGGCGGCATATCCTATGATATCCTAAAATATTGGCCACTCCTACTGTGGATGGACAAAATCCTGCACAACCTGGAAACCATGGGAAACCATTGTTTATTGGAATTTACAGGGGAACCGTCATTCCAGGGTTCCTTAGGTGGTGCAGGATTTCGTTCATCCACAGTAGTTTGTTTGCCAAAACTGCAAAATTAAGGCAGCCACACCACGGGCTTGCGAAGAGGCTGCTTGCAAATGGGCTGATGCCATGCGGACGCTCAGCATGCGGAACTCACGAGTGCCCCGCAAAGAAAGCACACGGCAACCAAGTTACTCTTGCAGCCGAGCGTGCAATTGACAAATTGACAAGCTGCAACAAATCCCTCCTTTGCAGTCTGGAACTGAGAAACCCAGTTGGTGCGCTGCTCATCAAATTGGGACCTGCATTTGCTCGAGCCCAGTGCAAAAGAGCGCGTGCAGCCTTGACAAAGGGCTTCAGCAGCATCATCCCATACTCCTCAGTTGCAAAAAAAAACACGCAAACTTGCTGGAGCCCATGCCAAACCAGCCAAGAGGGTTTGCACAAGCCATGATCACGGCTTACCATTCTATCCCTGCTTCATTGGCCGCACCATGCCCCGTGGTTATTGTTTCTTGTCACCTATCTACACATGCCTTGGACTGCGTAGCTCTTCAAGCAAGCTGACTTGTGAAAAAGACTTTAAGGCGGCGATCGGGTACTGAGTGAATGGTGAGTCACCCACTGAACAAAAACTTATCACCATGGCTTTGGTGGGTTATAACCATGGTTAAGTACCCTGCCCCATTAAGATCCATTAAGTAGAGGCCACAATAAACCCTAAACCCGAAACCCCAAACCCTAAACTTTCGGACTGAGGGTTTGGGGTTTGTGCTTTAGGACTTGGGGTTCCTTCTATAGGTACCCGATGGCTTTAAGTAGAGGCCACAAATAGCGTTCCTAGGCTCGGTCACGGCCAACGCCAGCACCTCTGCACCCGCGTGGTCTGCCTAGGCTTGGCGTGGTTGGTGTAAAAAACCCTAGATATGCCACCAATTGCATGTGGAACCTGACAAAGGGGTCCCTTTCAAAGGAAAACAGTCCAAACCAGGACCCGAATTCCTACATACCCTGCCACCAATTACACGTGGAATTCTGACAAGGGGTCCCTTTAGAAGGAACACGGTCCAAACCGGGACCCGAATTCGTCAGGTTCCAAATGAATTGGTGGAAGGGGAACTGGTTCACTCAACCGTGCAGCAACCTGGCCACACGCAACTGGCAGGATTCTTGGGATCCACAGTGATAGGTATCCACTCGAGATCTGATGACACTTTAATGGCAGCTCCCAAAGACTGCTATCTTGAGATTCGGGGATGTCGAGGGAACCAACTCGTGCGGGTTGCAAACATGACCGCCGCTGAAGCCCACCAAGGCCGAATTCCAGATACTTTTTGCAAACTACGAAGACCACGCTGACTGGGACCGGCGTGGCCCTACCCAAACTTACGGCGTGAACACGTAGCCCATCCTGAAACCAACATAGATTCGCGGGGTGGCAAATCTGATGTCTTGTGGATCAAGTTCATGAGACACAATCGTGGCGAGTGTTCATACTTCTGGTTACTGCACCTTCAATGTCTCGCACTCTTCATGCTGCATCTTGGCTTCTGTTTTGGGTGGAAATCCTCGCTGAAACATCACTTCAAAGTTCATCAACCAAACATGCAGCTGTCTGTCAGGGTGGTGATTCGCCCTGTCCAAAGGCACATGCAGTCACCGGCATGCCTCACCAACTGCCGTGTCTTTTTCTTTACAAAGATCTTCCAGGCCCCGCGCCTTGCAGGGGTAGTAGCCACAGGGCTCCACCAAGGGCTGCAAAACCAGATCCTGGCCGGTCCTCAGGTTGATCAGTGCTTTGAGGGGGAGGAGGGGGGGAAATGGCTAGCCTGTTTCTGGGCTGTCCGCTTTCAGATCCCCGGCTGAAAGTGACTGACGTTTTGTGGGTCAAACGCAAATTCAACCACTAAAAGGCTAAAAAGCTAAGGGGATTGCCGGTAACCACCAAGGTTTAAGCGGTCATCTTTACTGGAGAACTAGCTGGACGTCACTGGAACAACATGGTCGGAAAGTTGACAGAGCTGCCGATACTGAAAAGTCCTCACATGCCTGGCCGCAGCTGGCGGTCTCTGCTTGCGCTCCATTTGGTGATGGTTGTCAAAACCAATTGGGATCCCATTTTGGTAGGTGCACCACCCATTTTAGTTGGGATTTTAGTGGTTGGATTGGGATGTTCACTGGGGGTACGGGATTTTGAGCCATGGCCATTTCTGGAATTTCGGCCGAAGCGAAGCTTTGCCAAGCACCAAATGGACGATCCTCTCAGCTGTCAAATCCCATCCACCACCACATCAACAACCAAACCCATTGGGCCTTCCGGATTCCGCGCGGCTCAAACAAAATTGGCCGTCTATTTCATCTTCTGCGCCGAGGGGGGTGTCAATTTGTGTCTTCTCTTCGCGGGCGCTCGAGTGCTCGCGCTCGCTCGCGCTCTTCAGCCCAGCTGCCAGAGTGGCAAGTCGTAGAGCAGCTCGAGGCTGATGGCCAGGTACAGCCCCGCAGTGAGGATCTGACAGGGGCGAGGTATGAGAAATCAACCTCCAAGACACCGCTGGAAGGGACACATCGTCCAGTACTTGCTGGTAGGGCATGACCTCCCGGGTTCTGGGAATTTTCCTGGGGATTCCCGAATAAAGGAAACTAGGATGGTTTGTAGAGGTCATTCCCTCATTTCCTGCTGAGAGCCAGGATTAAACTGCCATTCATCACTGACGTTCAGCCGTTGAAACTTCTGCATGGCACTGTGAACATTCACTAAACGCAGCGCTTGCTTCTGCAAGTCATGGTGTCAGGGCAAAGTGGCGTGAAGCTTCTGTTTACCCTTGTCCTGGGCGCTCGCCCGAATCGCAACTTCCAACCAACCTCCACCGAGCAAGCGACACAGCGGCATCCCACAACTTGGCTGGACTGAGGACCCTAGCAGAAACCCAGAGTTTGTTGCCTGGTGAGTGGAAAACAAAAGGGACCCCTAAAAAGGCAAACAAAGAAACAGGGGAACTATTTCCGGGGAAAGCTAAGAGCTGTTTGAGCGTTCAACACGCAGACACAGAGAACAACACGGACATGGCTTGTGAATGGGCGAGGTGTCCACCGGCGCACACGCGCACACAAACCATCGCAGTATGATCAAGCTTGCCAGAATAGAGTGCAACAGGGCTGTGGGGAATGGAATCCACTTCTGTGATACAACAGAAGGGCGGAACCCCAAAGACTATTTTCTTCATATAAAGGGGGATTCCCTTGTATCACAGAAGTGGGGAGAAACCCCTTGATCCCACAACCCTGGAGTGCAAGGTTCCGCTCTTTAAAACGTGCATCTCAAACCGGCATTCGCCCAGCCCGTGAACAAGAATCTGGATCCCATGCAGCAATGCAGATGCCAACCACAAAACGCCACCAGTTGGACAAACTGCTGTCACAACCCGGCCACGCCCCCAAAGCATGTCTGTCACAAAGAAAGACAACATTGTCATCGAGTTAAAGGTCGGACCATGAACAAACCCTGTATGAGTTCTACTGTTTGGTCGAAGTGCTACAGTAGTGTTTGTCAGCTTGTGGCCAATGGTTACACATGTTCAGCACTTTACTCATACGGAACAATGAGAAGGAATAGGCAGGTCTGATGGCAAACTGCGGTGGCATTCATGCTCGCTTCAAACAAGAGGATCAAAAACTTTGCAGGAGGGTTGTGTTTATTAGATACAGAACCAACCCAGGCTCTGCCTGGACATGTGGTGATTCATGGTAACTTGATGAATCGTGTGGCTCTGCCGACGATGCATCATTCAAGTTTCTGACCTATCAGCTTCCGACGGTAGGGTATTGGCCTACCGTGGCAATGACGGGTAACGGAGAATTAGGGTTTGATTCCGGAGAGGGAGCCTGAGAAACGGCTACCACATCTAAGGAAGGCAGCAGGCGCGCAAATTACCCAATCCTGACACAGGGAGGTAGTGACAAGAAATAACAATACAGGGCATCCATGTCTTGTAATTGGAATGAATAGAATTTAAACCCCTTTGTGAGTATCAATTGGAGGGCAAGTCTGGTGCCAGCAGCCGCGGTAATTCCAGCTCCAATAGCGTATATTAAAGTTGTTGCGGTTAAAAAGCTCGTAGTTGGATTTCTGTTGGGGGTGACCGGTCCGCCTTCTGGGTGTGCGGCCTGGACCCCTCACATTCAAGTTCCACATGCAAGATGTCAGTCGAACTGCCGATCAAAGAAACCTAGCCATGCCCTATCAGCGGGATTGCCCCAAGGTTGGATTTACAGCGACATGCAGCCTGACCGGTAACCCTTAGTTGGTGGATTGCTTTGGGAATTTCAAGCCCTTCTTCTGGAGGGTAAACCACCAAGCCACCCATCAAGCACCAAGGACTTTCACCTCCCAGAGGCTCCAATTCGGATTTAGGGCCTTCAAACCTGGTTTTGAGACCCCACCCACCCAATTTTCGAGGGTGTTTCCACTGCTTCGGGGTCGGGTCTTCGGAAGCCGATCGGAGCTGGGAAGGTCCCGGGGCTCTTTCGATATCAGCCGGAGACTCCGGGAGCCTGGCCCAGGAAGAAGCGGTAGATGTTCAGCCGCGGGTGCAGGTAGTGAGGCCAGGACTGGTGAGCATGCCGCTAGGACAACCCAAGGGTGGCTCCCGTCTTGTGAGTTGCTACCTGTTGTTTGTAGCTTAAAGGCAAATGGAAACGCTTCTCTCTCTTTTTTGGGGGGGTGGGGGTGGGGGGCTCCTAAGAAAACACACAAACCCGGCGTAGTCACACTTGAAACAACCTGTCCTTTTGAAGAGCGCCGAAGGTGGAGAGGGGGCTCTTCGCTGTCCATCTGGCCAACAGGCCAAAGGTGTTCAACCTAAGATTGATCGGTGTGACCTGAGCCTGGACCACATGTTTGTCCACCTGGACCCTCAAAGGACCCATAAAATGGGTATCGCAACCGAACAAATTCTGGTTGGTCATTTCTCCCCGTAGCTTCTTCGGGTCCAAAGGCTCCCGAAAGCCGAAAGCGCGCCTCCAGCTGAGTCAAGATCTCCACCACGGGAGGCAGCACCACCCCAGCGCCCGTCACCATCAGCGGAGCCAAGTTGTAGCCCAGCCACTGCCCCACGCCTCCCGGGCAGAAATCGGTGAAACTTGTGCAAGCGGATGGGAGGCTCCTCGAAAGGTGCCTACCCCTTTTTGGTGGGTTTGAAAGAGAAACCAGCGAGAAGACCGAACATGGCCATACATAAGAAGCTTCCTAGTTGGGGATCATGTGGGAGCCACTGGAGAACTGGATGCAGCAAAACGAGACTCTGCCTCGAAGCCTCAACATGCCATGGGTGTCTGGACGTTTCTCTAAAGTGTCCGAATTGATTGCAAGTCTATCCACGGCAAACCGGCCAAAGAACTTGTAATGACGAGTACCAGGAATTGCAATACGAAACGCAGGGCTCTTGTTGGTGGGCATGAGTGGGCCTGTTCAGGCCAAAAAGGCCATAAAAAGAGACCATCTGAAAAATTGTAGGCCTGACCCAAACTCATGCTGAGGCTGCTTACCCGATTGGATTCCAAGTTGCGGGAGAGGTCGAGGGGAGTTTTCTTGTGGCACTTGCCAGTCAACGAGCTTGCCATGCAGCACTTTCCAAGGCAACAACACCCAGAGTTGTTTTATTGAGAGGCTCCTGGGGCTTTCAATGGAAGACCCGACCCCTCCATTAGACACCCCGGGAATTGGTGGTTGGGACCCGGTCTCAAAATCAGGAGGTTTGAAGGTCCTAAATCCATCGAATTGGAGCCTCTGGGCATGGCGATCTGGTGTTTTCATGCGCGCAGCGCCACGGCGACACAAGGCCCAGAGCCAGCACCCCCCGAACTACTCTTGGAGCAAAGATTTAATTCTTAGCAGTTAAGCGGCAATTCCCCACTAAACCACAATAAGCAAAAATGTATATATATATATATATATATATATATATATATATATATTTTTTCCCAACAACCATGTGCTCGTTTTTCCCATGTCCAACTACTCGGCTTTTTCCTATGCCCAGAGGCTCCAATTCGATTCATGTTGGGCCCTCAAGCCGCCAGCCCAACAGCCCGTTGGGGTTCTCGGAAGCCGAAGCCCCATGGCCTGCGGCAGAGCAGCAGTCTTGGAAGAAGCCACCCAGAAGCTCCTACGGATGCCCCGCGCATATTGCAAGCACACCCGCAAAAACCCATGCTTGAAGTGACGGTAAATTACGGAGCTCCCCTGGTCCCCTTGCAGTGGGTAGGGCACCGTAGCATGACTTCTAAATCAGACCTTTGGACGGAAAAGCCGGGCAGCATGCAGCATCACATGCCACCTGCACTTCCTACACACTCAGCACAAAGGCCAGCGGCATCCAAACATTCCCTGGGCTGTCCTCAGATCCTCCTGCTAAAACTTGGTTGACGTTGAAAAGGGAGCACAAAATTATATTTTAGCAGTTATGTAAGTGGGGATTTCCCACTAAACAACCATGAGCAAAAACGTTTAAAAAAATGTTTCCCAACAGCAACCATGAAAAGTGGTTTCTAGCGAACGGACATCCCCGCTCAAGCCTAAAAAGTCCAACCAGGGACCGGATGGCTGGGAACCAGCATTGCGGTCCACCAGGTAGTCGCGATCTCTGGTGCAGATCCAGATCGATATCCACAGCCCCACGATGATGGCCAGGTTCACCGCAAAGCCTGGCCGCAGTTTTTTCGAGCGCATTACCCCAGACAGGCGTACACTCCCGCCGGACGCTCTAAGAAAGGCCTCGGTAAATGGAACATCTTCCAAGGTGGGCGCGTCCATGGAATCCCCTCAGGGACGGTATCCAGAAGGATCACATGCCAAACAAAAAATCCTCTAGAGCATCGTTTGGGCATATTCATGATCAAAGTGCAAGACATCCAAATCTCTCGTCGCCTAGACATCGTTTGAAGATGAGGACGTTCTGGTCAATCGCTGTGCGACTCTTCACCTTGGGATCAGGCACGCGATGATTGGCATCCAGTCTCGCGAAATTGGAACACTCGGCTCACTTTCCAAGACGATCGGATCCCGTGCGCTGCTTTAACTCCCTGTTAAAAGCAACCTGAATTTGCCAACAACCGGCCAGTACGACACCAACACATGTTGGCCGTGGTCTTGGTTGCTGCAAGGACCCCACTGAAAAAAGTGAATCACTTTTTGGGGGCTTAGTGAAACCCCCCTTGATTTCCCCAAAAGTTACAGTCTAAAGACCCAACCCAGTAGCAGTCAAGTAATCAGCATCCCACTCCCGAAGCGTCCAATCAACAAAGGCCAAGGTGCCTTTTCCTGCTCCTTTTCCTCTGCATAGAGAAGCCGTAGTTGGCTGGCCACATTCTGCGCCCAAAGCCTGACATCTCACGAAGCAACTCAAGCAACTCTTATTGCCCATCCTTCAAAGAGATCTGCTTCTTTCGATGCTGAAACTCCTAAGACCTGGTTGAATGTTTCCTTCGGGAGCTGAATGGTTTGCGCCCCAATGGCCCCGCAAGCTTCGGCTTGGACTGGTGCCTATGGCGCGAGGAATTAGGCTGACATGTGCAATCACCCGGCTAGTCGGAGCCTCTTAGGCCAATTTCAACATCGGCGCTGGCAAAATCATCACAGCATCCACAGTTTCGATTGGCGCTTGAAGCTCCATCCTGGGAGAAGAAAAAAACGCCGCTGACCACAGTTTTGTTTTTCCCTACTTGGGTGCTATGGTCAGGCAGTAAGCTGTCAGGCGTGATCGCTATTCTCCTGCAGGGTCAATGCTATCTTAAGCAATTCACAACTTGCCAACTTGCCAAACAGGCAAGCAACGAACGATGTGTGAATTTTGCCCAGATAAAATTGACGCCACTGCAATTGGTGGCCACGCAAAGAACGCCACACAATTTGCAAACCGCGCAGCGTTCTGTCTGAGTCAGTGGTCAGACCGAAGTTCCAAATGCCTGGCAACGCTTTCGCAAAGCACCGTGGAAAGTAACACAACTAGGTCCTCCAGTAGAGAGGTTATAATAAGGGCACCCTTTTTTCTGTAGTCTATTTTAGTAGGGGAACCCTCCCAACCAAAAAAGAAGCGGTAAAGGGCACCTAGCTGGGGGAACTAATTAGACAAGATCCCGCTGCCTTCAAGGGCAGGGGCTGGGTCCTGGACCCAATGCCATTCATCTAGTCTTCCCCATAAAAGAGAAATCCTGGATCGCCAGTTGCGATCACTTTTTTTCCATGCACTTTACCCCAAAAAACCAGCAACAGTAACTGAACAAAAGGAGCAACTTGGCTATCAGGGATGGAACCCAGGGGGTGACCCCCTCCCCAATTCGATTTTTTCAGGGGGTGGTGATACACAGGCTATGATGCCGATGAGCCATGTGCCTCCTGTCCACTAACATGGAACCTGATGTTTCGGGATCCTGGAAGACCATTTGACCTTAAATGGACGCTTTGGTGGGTTCCATGTATGTGGTCAGGAGGGTATCTCGATCCTGGCATGCGCCTCTGTTGCAACAAGCACTTGTGCCCTGCCTAGCGTCAGGGAACTCCAACCTGAGCAATGCGCCCGGACAAGTAGATCGCTTATGCCTCTGCCCAAAAGCGGAGGCAGCTATTAACAACCACCCTGCTTGCATGATCACAAGCCCGCTGTAATCCACTGGAAGGCAAAAACCAACCAATCATGATATTTCTTTCTCCACTTCCCTGTATTCTTAGAAGTCTAGGCTGCAACAGCCGTAAGCGGCGCTCATTTCGGGCAAATGGTTGGATGAGTCCTTCGTTGGACAGGGGTCACTCGATTCCCCCCTGAAAACAGCCCGCAATTTACCGGTGGGCTCCGCTAAAACTGCTTTTGGAGGTCCAGAAAAGGAAAAGGCTCGGACACCGGGCGGTGTAACACGTAACCCACAATGGGTACCCTGGAAAAATGGAAACCTTTGCACAAACCTGCGATCCGATTGGTGCAAACTTTGGACCCATACCCTGGTTGGATCTAGACTTACTTTCTTTTAGTTACAGTCTCACCCCACGGACCTGAAAACCAGAAAGGTGATCACCTTTCGGGACCTTAAGACTAAGAGGACGCCCTCTTATGTGGGGCAAGCACAACTTGGCCCTGACCCATCCGAAATGAGACAGGCCCAAAATGGGAACCCTAAAAGAGCAAACCAAAAGCTCCGGTCAGATCTTGTCGGTCACTTAATTCTCTTAATAAATCTCTAGACCAAATATGAACACTATAAATAAATAATAAATTAAGATGACATAATACAAGAATATAATTCTATGATAAGTGAATTTCAGTCCAACAACAAATGTTAAATCCTGCAAATATAAATAGAATTATAATATGTGCAAATATGAATAAGATAGACATATTAATAAGAAAACAACATGAATCTGATGTAACTTCTAAATGTAATGATTTCAGAAATAGAAAAGTGTCTTTATGGAAAGGCTGAGGAACGAAGATATCATTTCCTGTTCTTTTTATTTCATAATTATTGCTTTTATGTCTGGTATTTTGGGAACTGAGCCCATTCTTTGGGCTGCACCGAGACACGCAGCGGCTCCAGCTTCTCGGAGAACTGCTCGAAGTTGTACTTGGCCTTCCGGGCTCCAGCTTCACCCCCAACAAAAAGTTTATCCGTGCACAAAACCCGCCAAAATCACCCAGTGGAACCCATGTAAAACCCCCCCCCAAAAAGCCGTCGACTTTCACTCGCTTCGTTGATTGGCCAGGAAAAGTCTACGAAAAAAGTATCCGTGCACGACCGACCCCCAAAGTTTGCACCTCTGGGAACCCATGTGGAACCCCCCAAAATGTCCGTCCGCTTACACTCACTTCTGAGTTGATTGGCGAGAATAAGGAAGAATGAGCTTTCTGTTTGCCACTCAAATGGCAACCAAACCCAAAAAGTGACGAAAGTCCATGAACTCAGGGAGTGAGACAGGCAACACAAGTCTAGAAGATCTGGATACCACATAGATACATTCCAGTGCCGCACTTTTCCAGCTCTCAAAAGCGGGAATTCACGAGGGCATCCTAAACGTCAAATGGTACCTAAGCATGCCCAAAGTGGGAACACGCGAATCAACAAACAGAAGGACAATGCACACACGCGAATCGATGCCAGAGTTGTTGCCGAATCAATATTTCGGCTGCCTTGGGTATCTTTGCTTGTCATCCCTGGTTGCCTGGCTCTAGCGAGCGAGCAACGCCTTGTGTTTCCGTCTCATGACTGTCTCAAAATGCGGGGAGTCCGCCAAATGGCAACGGATGCAGCTTCAGGAAATTAACGACAAACAGGTTCACAACAATGCTGGCATATGAGACACAAAAAAACAAAACGGTACTTGACTGCAGTTCGCAAATTGAAGTTGCTTGGGTTTGTGTCAGCCGGAGCTGAGATGGCTTTCCCAGGCTCCAGATTCCATGTCTTGGGGCCTGGCCTCGGTCATCTGCCACCATCCGAGCACGAAGAGCACGGCAAAAATGATCGAGACCTGCGAAGAGCACACATTCTCTGCGAAAGGCCTGGCCCACAAGAAAGTGAGGCCATAACCCCAACTTTGATCTTGGGAACACATACCTGGGCTGTCCGTTTTCTGATCCCCCGCTAAAAGTGTCTAACTTTTTAGTGGTTGAAATGGACACCCCACTAAACACGAAAACACTAAAAAGCTAAGGGGATGGCTGGGAACCACCAAGATAACGTACATCCTGAATTGAATAGCGCTCCCCAAGTGTATGGCAAATGAATCCGACGCTTACGCCAAAATCCGGAATGGACCGTCTCTAGAATGCCAACACACAAGAACGCCAAGCAGTCCGACGCGTACTGCATGCTTTGCTGATTTACTGCAGTCCTCAGAAAAGCAGAGCGCCAAATTTGCGCCGCGGAGCCAAGTTTCCGAAGACGTACCAGAAGGCCAACATGAGCTCCTTGCCGGAGTTTGCCTCAGGCTTCCGAGCACGGAGATCTCGGGTAGCTTGATATGCCTTGCTGCTTGCCAGAAAAGCTCGTTGCCAACCGGCGCAAACGGCAGTGCTCTGAAACAGGCCACACCAGTATCAATATGTGTATCAAAAACTGGCCCAGAAGCAAAGCAAACTCCCCTCTGAACCCTTTGCATCCAGATCCAGGTTCTGATTCCCCAAGCAACGGAACTCAGAAATGACGGGTTTTCCTGTATGAATGGCATCCTACAGTAGAGTCAATCGCAAGGTCCGGCAACACAGGTCGCCTATCAAGCCCAAGCCAGAAAACCGCTTATTTAAGAACAAAAACACGGAGCTCAGGCTTTAGAGAAAGTGTCAAGGACTGTGTCGAGGCCATAAATTCACAGCCGGGGTCTGCTAGTTCATTTCCAGAGCTGCCCATGATCTTCCAAATGAAGGTGGCCTGAAAGACAAAGTTTAGATAATATGTACATACAAATATGTGTGTAAATATATATATATATATATGTATACCAGGAGCCTCAAAAACCGATGAAAATGTCATACCTACAAAAAACACGATGTTTTTTGGGAAAACACGATGTTTTCGGGAAACACCGCATTTTCGATTTCAAGCAGTTTCCCATACATTCCTTCAACTCGTCATCCGTTCTCAAAAGATCTCAAAAGCATCATCTCAACCTCAGAATCTCCCATCGCCCTCCCCTTTTGCACTCGCAACGAAATCAGCTTCGCATTCGCCACTCGTCTTTCGCAACTCCAACCTGAAAGAAGGAGGCCGGGGACCCAAATAGTCAAAAGTACCACGGTTTTATGACACTTGTCAAGCAGCAGTGCCATGATGAGGGCGTGCTGGCTTCGAACAGCGCGCAAGCTCAAGCAAAGACCGTGCTTTTGCTCACGACTTCGTTGTTTTCCAGCAACATTCTCGAATTAGCGCATTCGTGGTTGAACCCGAAAAACCCATAGAATTTCCACGCTTTGCCACGCTTTACTACGGGTTCTCCACGGTTTAGCTACGGGTTAGAAAACACGATGTTTTCCAAAAACACGATGTTTTCGGTTGGGCTGCGGGCTTTCTACGGGTTTCTACGGGTTTTCTATGGGTTTCTACGGGTTTTCTGCGGGTTTCTGCGGTTAGCCGCCAGGATCCCGCCCCATTTGCTAAAAAAAACTCAAAATTGAAAAAACAATCTCAAAAGTGTCACCTGGTCTTGTTTTGCACCAAAAGGAGCTTTCGGATTCCAGCACCCCCTTCAAACTGGTTCGGTATGACCTGGCGCCAGTCTTCAGGTGCCTGTTGCTGTGAAAGGTACTTCAAGACTGAAGCCAGCTGCACACCCTGGCTGTCAGGCTCATCAATGTGGTCCTTAGAATTTGAAGCATACTCAGTATAGAGCGTTGCCCTCAGTTGAAATCTTAATGGGTGATGTCTGTGTGAATCCACTCCCGACCCTTGCCTTTGACCCTTTGCTCCAAATGAGTGTTTGGCCTCAGAAGCCCATTTTTAAGGGGTTTTATCAAAAACACGATGTTTTTCCTGAAAACACGATGTTTTCAGAAAATCGAGAAAAAACACGATGTTTTAGTCAGGGTACGACATTTTTACAGGTTCTTGAAGCCCTAGGTAGTATATGCATGTATACATATATATATATATACATATGTCGTACGGCCCTTATTCACCATCTTGGCCGGCGCTCGCATCCGAAGGTTCCGAAACGTAAACTGCATGGTCAGTATTCCTGGCCCCAAAATGACCATATGTGCCTTTCCCCATGTAGCGGGAAATATCAAATGGCTGTGGGTCAAAAATATGTACCCAAAATGGAATCCTGGTAAATGGAAACATGGACCAAAACCTGCAGTCCGATTCCTGGTGGTTTAAATTTGACCCATACCCAAATGGTCATCCCACGTAACCTGTTTGATCAACCCATATCTGTGTAGGCCAAGTTGCAAAGCTTACGGAGATGCCACCAGCCATGTTGCGGATGTCCTCAAGCGCAAGGTCACATTCAAGTATAGGGCCATTGGTGGGGGCTTGTCTTTTTATGGGAATGGATCCCGAATGGCAACGGTTTCCTTTGGTTTCCCTGGAAGAACCCTGGAAGAAGCCACTCAAGTGGTATCCTCAAAAGAAGGACCCAAATCGGGAAACATGAGCAAAGACGAGTCTGAAGTGACAAGGTCCGGAAGCAGGAAACACAATCCTTCGGACCTTTTAATCAACCCGAACATGACCATGGTTCAAAACCACTGGGATCCCATTTTGGGGGGGTTTTGTGCACCAGGTTTTGTGCACCACCCATTTTACTCGGGATTTTAGTGGTTGGATTGGGATGTTCACTGGGGGTACGCATTTGGGTTTTGACCCATGGCCACATGGAAGCCAAATAAAGCGTCATGTGGACTCTAGTGATACTGGGTCGGATCTGTCGACGTTTGCTTTTTGGTTGACATCCATTGGGTTTTCCGGTATTTTCATCCACTTTTTGATCAAGCCCCACATCTTCGGGGCTCTGCAGCCAAGCTTCGGCGTGGCTCTGAGCTAGGCACCTGGTATGCAACTCTCAAGCAACCTATCGCGTGTCTTGCGCTCTTATGAGGACTGGGGGACCGGCAGCAAAGCATGGACGACGTTCGCAAGTTGGCTAGTTTGGTAAAGAATGGTGAACTGGCTGTGGGTCAAAAACAGGGTAACCCCGAAATGGTTTGCCCTGGCAAATGGAAACATGGACGATTTAACCTGCGGTCCGATTCCTGGTTTAAATTTGACCCCCCAGAGGCTCCTGGCTTCGGCTTTCAGTGGAAGATCCAGACCCCTCTATTGGACACGGAGGTGTTGTCTCAAAACCTGGCGTTTTGAGGGTCCTCAATTATTCGGGAGCCTCTGGGTTGAGAAGATCCAGTGTTTTGAGGCAATGACTGAAATACATCTCACTCACCAAGCCCTGATTTTGCAGCGAGATCCCGGTATGTAGGTGCCCATACCGTTCCACAGCTGAGTTCACACGAATTTGAAAGGCCCGAAATTGCGTCCGGAGCTGCATGCATCGCCTATTTCAGCTGACGGTGGGGTGGAACGCACCCTCTTATCCGGGGGCAACTACAGCAAATACAGGTGTCCTTTCGGGGAAGTAGTCTGCCCTAGATTCTGATTCAACCAGTCCACCAGAAATCGCCATCTACTTGCTACCAGACTAACCTAAAACATGCTAGGACCAAACATGGCACCAACGTAAATGGAACCAACGACTCAAACCTGCAGTCTCCTAGCCTCCGAAGATTTTCAGCCACACCCTTTGACTTGGTTGACGTTGGAAGGGGAGCAAACAAAAAATAGCAGTTAAGTGGGGAAACAACAATAAGCACAAATGTAAAATGTTCCCAACAACAACCATGTTGATTTGCCACTTTGGAGCCACACCCTTTTGCCCAGTTGAGACCTGATCCTGCCTGGATGCATTAAAGGTCTCCAGTTGGAAGCCATGCAAGGGCACGGTCCCATCGAAGCTGGTGGTGCCGAACCACCTGAAGGGCACAATCTTGGGACTAACCGATTTGTGGCCCGTGTAAAAGAATCAAAGTGTTTATCTGAGGGTTTTTGTATTACACCCTGGGATTACACCCTTGGGAAATGACCACAATAGTTCAAAATAACACGGTGTTTATCCGGAAATGTGCCTAAATGGGGTCAATACCCAGTGGGTGTATTCCCAGGGTGTAATACAAAAACCCTCAGAGTTTACACTGGCCGGAAAAGTGATAAATATGCCAAACTGGCTTCCTGAGTGGATCGGCAAAAACAAGTCCGAACTTTGTATTTACCCTGGGGCTTTCAATGGAAGACCCGACCCCTCCATTAGACACCCCGGAAAACCAGGTTGAAGGCCCTAAAACAATCGAATTGGAGCCTCTGGGATCTATGGCAACCAAACCCGAAAGGTTTGAAATCCGAGTCCCGGAACTCTCAAAGGTGAGTGCAAAACTCGGCTCGCCGGCGACAGCACAGCCGACAAGGCCAGCAGTTGATGCATGGGACTTGTAGTGACTGGCTGAATTGAGCCCCAAAAAAAAGCCTGCAGATGGGTGGCTCGCTGTTTTTGGAGTTGGTGCCCCTTGTTGAGGAAATAGGGAAGCCAAGAGAAAACACATGACTATTTTTTTGGAAGGGGGGTCCCCAATCCCAAAGAAAAAAACACACCATATGGTGGAGCCTTTGGGTGCAACTCTGTCTAGCACCCATTCCATCAGAGGCTCCAAAAAGGTGAGATAGTCCCTGCAAAAACACGGATTGTGCCCAAGGCTATCAGGGTGGGAACATGCAAGCACCTCCTGGCACACTTGGTAATTAGCATTGCTAATTGTCAATGCGGCCCGGCTTGCATTTGAGCATCTAAACCCCGGTTGCAGGCAGGAGGGCTGCAACACGTGCCGTCAAGGGAAAGAGCCATGGGGCGCTACGTGCACCCCAAACCACCTGATCAGTGGACAAACACCGCGAATCCGAAAAAAAAATGCCTTGCAGGGTCATCCAACAACAACCTCTTGCACACCAAGTCCCTCAAATGCTCAATCCATCCCCGCCGTGATTCAAGGCGCCCCTTTTCCCTGACTACCAATGCCAAAGTAAAGGGCAAAGATTCGGCCCAAAAACAAACACCACCCAAAACCACCCGATAAAAGGTACTTCCCTGCAGCCCCCGAGCAAAACAACACCTGCCAGAAGAAAAGCGTTCCTTTTGCATAGTGTCTGCACTTCAGCCCACCAACACCAAGCCACAATTAAGCTCCTCAAGTTTTCTCAAAATTGCGCTTCCCCCAAAGCACCTTTTTCTTTGCTTAAAGTGACAAGGTGTTCAAGCTCGCAAAGCCCCTTAGAGGCCCCCCCCTCACCACAATTGATCAGCACTTTTTTGGGCTCAAAATAAAAAACCGCTGTTGCCATTTAAAGTGCTATTGCCAAGAAAGCAAGAGCTGAAGAGGTTTCTAGGTTCCTGTTTCCAGTTCAATTGGCTGGAAAGCGGCCAGGGCCGTAAGGGTTTTGGGCGCTTTCTTTTCCAAACCTTGTTGACCTGGGGGAGGGGAGGTGGGCCATTGACTCAGGGTATACTCGGTTGCTTTCTGCTCCCCTGGATTAATGGAAAACCCATTAGTTGGCAAAAAGTAAAAGTCCCATCCAAGCAAAATCCAACAAAGCAAAACACCTTCCCGTGTTTGGGAGGCCCAGTGCCAGACATCCCCAGTGCCGCGGCTCTGCGGCTCCGAGCCTGCCAGAGAGCTGAAAGCCGCTGGGCACGCAGCTGCCAGGGAAGCCTTGGTTCGCGGCGCTGGAGTTCACGCCTCGGTCGGGTCCAGAGATCGTGGGGGTGGGGGTGGCGGAGGGGAGGGAGGGAGGGGCTTAAGGGCTCGTTTTGTGGAGAGAGCGAAATTCGCATCTGCTGCCTGTACCCCCAACTGATTTTCTAAGGCCTCTGGTTTCTCCTGGCACATCCAAATGGACCCCGTCAAGAAGTCCAGCGCACGTCCCCAAGCCATCAAACCGCGGGTCTCGAGAACCCCGTCGGGGTAAATGGGGACGTTGGTTCCATGGAGTCTGGAGGAAACTTTCCCGCCCCGATTTAAGGCACATTCTTGAATGGTCAAATTCAGGCATGCTTCATTATTTGGAGTCATTGATGCGATGGTTACCAGATGACTTACGAACCCAGATCTATCTGAATACAACAGCAGTCAATGACACGTATATCAGGACTCGGGTCACAAACAAAACCTCGGGCTTCACGTCCAGCCAGGTAATTTCTTCACCTAGGCTGTGCTCAAATTCCTCGCTAATCATTGAAACTCAAAGGTCTCTGCATTGTCAACCGTGCTCCCACGCTGGACATTGGACAGGGGCAACGAAGGCAGCTTCCAAATCCCTAACACCAGAATGTGGAAGAATGTCCCAAAACAAGTGGGACCTTTTTTTCCCCCTTAAAGTGGGTGGTTCTCTCCTGTATGCCCAGGCCCTATACCCAAAACAGGGGGTACCCTCCCAAGGAGCGACACACCATCCACCCGAGGGGCTGCACCGTGGCCACGGCTCCTCCGCCTCCCGACGAAAGTGCAGGGCTTGGAAGGCCAGGCGAAACCATGGAAAGTGCACTGCGCACAGCCAGAGCTCGCGGGAAAAAACAACAAAAAACAAAAAACAAAACACGCACACAAAAAAAGAAAGAAAAACAATCAATCGATCTCTCATCAAAAGAGCTGGGACCAACCAATGCTCCTATTGAACAATCCATCAAAAAGAAGTTGCGGCCTAGTTAGAACATTTCCTGCACACATGTGATACCGGCCTATGAAGTATTAAAACGACAAGGAGCACACTGCAAACAGTTCATCCAATGCACCGAACAAAGCTGTAGATCACACGGACACGTGCTGCAAGCAGACATCCCAAAGACCATGGTTTCAGCATACCTGGGTTGCCATGTGGATACTGTCGGGCTTGGATGAAACGACGCCTCTCTGTCTTTTGTTGATCCCTCCACGCCTGTACCATGTCGGCGAAGCGGCTGTAAATGACCCAATCCTCGCATCACTTGCCAACAGAGAGTGGGGAGCGGAAGCTTCATGTCGCATGTGTTATTCGTTTTGATGCCGCGCTTGCTCCGCTTGACTTGGCGCTTGCAAGCATCCCTTGTATGCCCTGCCACGCAGACCTCCAAGGCCCGATCGGGAGCGTCAGGTAAGTGGCTAGTAAGCCCGGTGAAAACAACACACAATAGCCCATGGTTTCAGTCTCCGTTCAGTGGGTGTTTTTTGTCTCACCAGGCTTACTAACCGCTTACCAACCCTGCATCGATCGCCTTTTATAACCTTTTGCACAAATCGAAAGGGTTTCCTTGGTTTAGATGGCATGAAACCCATCTAAAACAGTGGGTTGCCCATCAAGGAGCCTCATCAAGCTAACCTAAGGAGCCCTACCGTCAACATGTCCAGCGCATCCATTCCGTCTCCTGGTTCTGCGTGCCTGGCAAGCTCCGCCAGGAGCTCGTAAAGACCTGTCTAAAAGCCGGAAAAGAAGCCGCCCAGGATTCTGGAGAGACTGTGGTGGCGGAATCCAGAAATCGCACTTGAAAACCATGGTTGAAACCATTGTATAATGGTATTTCCGATAAAAAATAATCATTTCCAGGGGTTCTTAGGTGCAGGATTTCGTCCATCCGCAGTATTGGCCCGAAACTGCACGAAGATGCCAGCTAAGCATCGCTCCCTTCCACCAAACGCTTTGGCAGCTCCAGTGACAACGCTTCCGCTATCAAAAGAAAAGGGGGGGAAGTTGGGAACTCTGCTCTCTTGATATGTGTTTACCACATTATAGCGAAGAGTTCATGGGCCTCAAGTCGGCGCATCATGTCAAGCATGGTCTCCCTAGCTGCTAAGCTCACCTTGACATAGGCAGATTTTCACCACTCCACCATTGCGCTGGGCATCTTGTCTGGCAGATCAGGCCGGCAAGGTGTATGCATAAGCACTTGCGGGCCCACAGTTCAACAGCATGCACCCGCACAAATCAGCACCGGTCGAAGTTACAATCGGTTGATGGTCCTGCACATAAACGCCTTTTGGGAACCTAGATGGGTTTCTATGATTTCAGCAAAAACAGGACACCTATACCTTTTTTTCAGGTATTTTTGGGAAGACCTGGTTTCCACAACAAATACCTCCTTTTAGTAGTGGGTTGACATGATACGCTGAGACAAGCGGGCATTTGCAGTAGTTGGTATGCTGCACTACATGCCGGCGCGGGAAACCAGCGCAGGCCAGCCTCGTACGGGCTCAAGCCAGAGCTGTTGTCCCAAATGCCAGCAAAGACGGCAAAGGTGCGGCAATCTCGCACGTATCCTGGGCGCGCCCAATCACGTGCTGTTTTTCCCCAACAGCTGAAAGCTTTGGGGTCTCAGCCCAGATAGGTTCCGGGGTGGTCCGGGGCGGCCCGGAGGTAAGGTTCCACGAGGGTTCCAGCAGGGTTCCACATGCTGTTGGGGATATAGCCTGAGCTTATTTTTGTTAAGGGGCCGGTCCACAGAAAAGCGCAAACAAAGGCTGTCAGAGCGACTTTGACTCGTATGAAGGAACAACCTTATATATATATATATATGATGGGTCTTGACAAATATGTCCGCCTTTCATTGGGCCCTCGGCGAAAAGCCAGGCCCAGCAGGGCGGTTTCCTTCCATTGGCTGCTTTACTAGCCCAGAAAGAAATTCAGTACTGGAATAAGCAACAAAGGCAGCAGGCCATGTCGCACAACTCAAACGGTTTTCTGCGGTGAGTGGTGTGTTTCCAAGAAAAAAACTAAAACTGCCGGGATTCCAAATGATTCCCACCCAACAATGACCTCACCAACTTGACTCCATGTACAATGGCGGGGGGCGTGCACCATGCATGAGTTTTGGCTAGGGTGGAAAACCGATACTTTTGGAGCCAAACTGACCTCCCGTGGGCTCGTATACAGCTCCGTTGCTTCACCAAAGGACCTGGTTGAGTCAAACAGATTGGTTCGGAGTCCGGCTGGTGAAGAGAAAGGTCCCGGCCCTTTCTTGTTGTTGTGGCCCTCTTCCGCGAAACATCACGACCAGTCCAGTTCAGCTTGCACTTGGCTGATGTTGCCGCCCCCATCAGGACTCCAAGTCACAACAGAACCATCCTCCAGCACGGCAGCAAATGCAGATTCATTTGCTTGGATCCACTGGACGCGCACCAACTGCGCTTGCTGCTGTCACCGCCATTGACCGGATCGCCCCAAGTCACCACAGAGCCGTCGCACCGGATGGCGGCAAAAGCACGCTCAGTTGCCTGGATCTGCCAGACGCCAGCCAACTGCTCTTGCACCTGCCTGCTGTCACCACCCAAAAGGGGATGGCCCCAAGTGACCACAGAGCCGTCACCCAGAATGGCAGCAAACGCAGATTCATTTGCTTGGATCTGTTCAACCCGCGCCAACTGATCCTGTATCTGGTGCTATCACCACCACGTTCACGAGGGCCCCACGTCACCACAGAGCCGTCGTGCCGGATGGCAGCAAAAGCATAGTCAGTTGCTTGGATCTGCTGGACGCGCACCAACTGTTCTTGCACCAGGCTGCTGTTGCCACCATAACCAGCAGCCCCCCAAGTCACCACAGAGCCGTCGTCCCGGATGGCAGCAAAAGCACCACGAGTTGCTTGGATCTGCTTGACCTGCACCAAGTGCTCTAAAGCACCACGAGTTGCTTGGATCTGCTTGACCTGCACCAAGTGCTCTCGCACTTGGCTGCTTCACCGCCATTGACTGGATCGCCCCAAGTAACCACCGATCTGTCGGACAGCATGGCAGCAAAAGCAGCCTGAGTTGCTTGAATCCGCTGGACGCCAGCCAACTGCTCTTGCACCTGGCTGCTGTCGCCACCCTTAAGGGAATGGCCTCAAGTGACCACAGAGCCGTCACCCAGAATGGCAGCAAGCACGGATTCATTTGCTTGGATCTGTTCAACCTGCACCAACTGATCCCGTACCTCGTGGTTGTCACCGCCAGCTCCAGGATGGCCCCAAGTAAGAGCAGCCCCATCAGGACCAACAAGTGCAAATGCCTGAGACGAGGAAGCCAGCTTCACTGTCTGCACGATTGCGTCAACGGTGTCCCCATCATGCACGCCCACCTCGCTCAACGCACACGACAGATCTAGTTGTCGCCCTCTGAAAGCAAGCCTCAGGCAGCGGCGCTTGAACTGCTATTGTGCCGCAGCCTCCAGTTCGCGAATAGTTGACTTCTGCAGCATTTGCACTGAACAGCTCGCAAAATCCAAAGGCCCGGCTACGCGTGCTTGGAGCTGAAAGCCAACCAGCAATGTAAAGTAGGTATGGTCAAGATGAAAGCACCAGGGGACCTTAGGTTTTAGTTAATGTTTCCATTTACCATAGTTCCATTTTGGGTACCTTATTCCCACAGCCAAGTTGGGAAACAATGCGCATTTGCTGTGTCAAGATTGCAAATTGATGTCGCGCCTGTCAATCACAAAACATACCCAAACCAGGTTGCCCCGCACCTATGTTCTGGCTTAGGCTGTGCACTTTGGTGCATCAATCCCGCATGACTAGCAAACAATTTATAACTTCGATTCTTGCTGCGATCAAGTTGGCAAGTGACTTCTGCGTGACCAAGCGTCGCACCATCGGGCAAGCTGCGAACCTGGGGTCAAGCGGACACTTCTGTCTGCCATGCTCTGAAGCAAGCACGATCTTCAAGCTGCAAAAACCGCAACGTGAATGGTCGCATCATTTGGGTTGCCCGCTTTCAGGAGAGCAGAAGTTACGTGTGCAGCATAGCAGCAATCCCATTCAAGTGATATTTTCTTGGATACTCCCTTGGTGTGGCAAAATGGCTCGACATCCCCAGGTTTTTTTCCGTTCGCCGGAAGACGGCAGAAAGGGCTTGTGACTAGCTACAATGTGCCTAACCAGAACTCCTAGTAGCTCCTTTCCGTGGATGGACAGAATCCTGCACCACCTAAGAACCCCCGGAATGATGATTCCCCAACGTAAATACCAATAGACTATTATATTGCCAATAGACGTTATGGTTTATGGTTTCCTTCCGTGCAGAATTTCCTCCGAGACCTGCTCCGTAAATAGGTCGGCTCCCGAACCAAACGCAGCTGCGGGGCTGTGTGTCGAAGGCTTCCTGGCCGATGTCCTGGACCACTGCGAGGGAGCCGTTGGAACTTTTCCGCAGATCCACGGCGCTCTGCCACTGCTCCTCGGGGAATCAGGGATGCGGATGCATGAAAAACACCTGAACATTGCAACTTGTAAATGGTGGTGTCCAACTTTATTTCGGTGCGGAAAAAGCCAACAGCCACATGTTTCAACAGGTGGCAAAAGCAAAATTAGTTTAAGGAGCCCCACGGAAAAGGGCCATGAGAGAGGCCCGGGGAAAAGGTGGAGGTCTAGAGAAGCCCAACATACTGTGGATGCTTGCAATTTGAAATCGAAGTTTGGGAGTCTCGCACCGTTCAGAAGCCCTGGCTTCTGATACGACTCCCCAACGTAAATACCAACAAGGTCAGCCGTGGTTTCCTTTGGTACAACATGGATTTCGCACCCAGTCTGGGAAGGCTCTTGGGATGGCAACCTCTCAAAATGTCAGGAACAATCCCCAGCAACTAGTAGCACGGATTGCAAAGGTTTCTGAATGAACGCGGCAGCCGCTAACTTGACTGGACCAACCTGTGTCTGAACCAACTGTCTATCCCCTTGATGTCTTGTGTGGAGTTTCTTGCCGAATGTTCGAATGTCTCTGAACTGGACACATTCTGCAAGAAACAATTTATTGAAGGAAACTACAAGATTCTAACTCAGGCAAAGCAACAAGGACCCTGCAACGGTACGTCTAGGTTCCCTGAACCTTGTGGTTCCTTACAACTAGTGCTGAAGCAAACGCCACACATCACGTGCAACTCAGTGAGTCTCAGCTATTGGAGCGGAAGATGCTCGTTTCCTCTCGTTTTGGCTGCAGTCCGTGCCTCGCCCCGGGCTTTCCATTTGTTTTCTGTGCGCTGGGTGCCCTATGTGTACGAGAGGCCATCGATTTGTGGGCCTTCATTGCTTGCTTCGCCACAAGTACATGGTGGCAGTGACAGCACTCTCTGCTTGGATGTTCGCCCATTTGGTAAGTAGGCCGGAACCATGACTATATGTCCATCATTTCCCGTCCTACTGTGCATGGACAAAATCCTGTGCCACCTGAAAAACATGGGAAACCATTGTTTGTTGGTATGTACGGGGGAATCATTCCAGGGTTTCTTGGGCGGTGCGAAATAGATTTCGTCCATCCACAGTATGTGCTTACAGCACAGCTGCAACCTGCTTACGTAGGCGCCGAACATCCAAGCATCTGCTGTCCCAGCGGCCGGTTGTGTGCCGGCGGAGCGGTAGAAGCTGCCTATGAACAAGGAGCAGGGCAAAGTGCCGCACATCCTGGCCACTGGCTCCAGGCTGCGACCTTTTGGTAGTACCAGTGGTACCCTGGTTGGTGGGTATGCCTTTTGTGCTGTGGTACCCCTCAGCAAATTTGTCTAGGGAAGCCAAAGCAACATCAATCCAGCTTGTGGAAACAAACAAATGAGGGCAAACTCATGCGATGTGCAAGATCTTTCGATTTGGCACGGTTTCTGGTTCCTCTTGACCAGGGAAGCACTGGGTATCGCGGAAAAGCCACTTCCCTCGACCCAGACACGAGCCAAGCCTTGTCCCTTCGTTACCCACCGAGACCTTCCAAGAAGGAAGCGATGGAAAGAGACGGTATGTTTGTCTTAGCACATGGAACAAAATGCACCAAGGCACGACCAGTTCCGGTCAGGTTGTGGTAGAACACCAGCAAAAGCAGAATGCTCGAGACGCCTTTGGTGAGCGCACCGAGAAGTGATGAGCAATGAAACTCCAAATGGATGGAGAAGACGTCCAGAGGTTCCCAACACCCCCTCCATTTGCTTAAGCCTGGAAAATATGCGGACATCTTTCCAATGGTGAAATCGATTCCCTTTAAAACCCAACAAACAAACCTCAGATGCCCAGTGGCCATGGGACAAAAAGGGCATCCTTTATTGGTTGGTTGACTTGAAAGGAATCGGAACCCTTCCCAAACAAACGGAAAAAAGGGCGGAATCCACTGGGCAACTGGGCAACACCGTGGTTCCTACGGGACTGGACGCCGACAGATCTCCGACCGCTCCACTCGCCGGCCCGAATGGCACCTGAGGTTGAAGCTGTCCCACTGCTCCACCGTCTGCATAACGAGCAGCGGGCCGAAGGCCAAGGCAGCAAAGAGCGCCAGCAGCCTGGGAGGAATCACAGGGGCGATCGATTCGGGACTTAGTCAGTTAGTAAGCGCGTGTGTAACCCACTGAACGGAGACTTATTACCATGGTGAGTGGATGTAAGTGGCTTAAAACCATGGTTGTTATCCACATACTACCCCTTTAAGTACTGTGGATGGTATCGAAATCAAAATCCGAGATTCGATTCCACAACGGTTAATACCAACAAACAGTGGTTTCAACCATATCTAGGTCCTCCAGTAGAGAGGTTAGAATAAGGGCGCCCGATTTTCCTTCTGTAGTCTATTTTAGCAGGGGAACCGAATCTCTCCCAAAAAAGAATCGGCAAAAGTTGGCACCTAGCTGGAAGATTCCTAGATACGACTTCCAAGCGGTGTCTGCCAAAGCCCACAAGCTGCGCGCAACTCTGCCGGACAAGACCTGGCAACAGGCCGTGCCGGAGCTGCCGGTTTCTTTGGCCCCCAAAGCCCCGCCAAACAAATCCCCCTCTGAGAAAGACGGAATCCCCAAAAGCTCCTGGTTTCGGCTTTCAGAAGACCCGACCCCTTAGACACCCCGAAAGTGGTTGGGGGACTCAAAACCGGGTGGTTTGAAGGCCCTAAATCGAATTGGAGCCTCTGGGATAGACAACTTTCGCATCTTTGTGGAGGTGTGTTTGGGGTGACTCTTTTTGTTTGGGGGCTCCAAACCGAAAAGAATGTTCATGAGATTCAAGGACGGAACTGCAGAACTGACAGTTCCAGGGCGCAGGAGGTAGGAGTAGAACTTGAAGAACGTCCCGCAGCCGCTGCCGAACTGGGAGGAGATCGTCTGCACCTCAGACATGACCCCAGACGGCACATTGATCTGAGCGGCGAGTGGAAGCTCCCCAGAGGTTTGCGAAGCTTCCTCTGTGACTGATGAGATGAGATCCAAATTACAAACACCTACACCTATGTACAACTGTGTTCTGTGTATCTATATATATATATACACATACACGTATATATATATATATATATATACATATATATATGTACACGTGTTGTTGCTTCCCGGTGTTCTGGCAAGACACACACAATCAATATGAGCAGAGAAGGCTTCTGCCTACTCTGCCTCCTGAGATCCCGGAGCTGGCGCTTTGGCCGCGGCGCATCTGACTGCAGGGGGATCATGGCGTAGACCACAGACACCACGAAGCCGCCCAGCCTGGACCTCAAGGCTTGGGATGGGTCGCATTTTGGGATTTGGAGCCCAAGAATCGTGGCCTTCCTTTTGGCTTTCCTTCCAAACCACCAAAGATAAGGGGTACCAACTCCAAAAAGGCGAGGCATTGGGGGAGTCGGAAAGCAAAATAGAACCGTGGCCTTTAATGATGTCTTCTGTCTGACTGATCATTTGGTTGATGTGCAGTACTGCTGTTGAGACGTACTATTCTTTAGCTCGAACCAACAACTTCGTGCTCAAAAGCGAGAGAAACACATCAAGAAACAGTGCACGATGTGCTCACCGGCCAAATGCCAGATGCGCCCCACCTGAGGATCATGTTGGTGGCCATGTCGATGGCACCAGCGTCCTTACAGCAAAGGAGTCCCATAGATCCTCAAGCTCCATGCTGCATGGCAAATATTGATCAAGTGGTAAGATACTGGCCGTTTTTGAGAAACATCGAGCAGGGTGTTCTTGAATCATACTCCCCGCCTTTGGATCCGTGCATACATAGAAACCGCCCTCCAAGTAGGGTTTGACTAAATTGTCCTTTGCATGAAACGACCATTCGGGAAACCACCCAAAAAATGACTTTCACCACATAGGAGGGGGGGGAACTTGGCCGTGGCTCAAAATTAAAGAGCTAGGGTGACGCGGGTTTTAGTCTTTGGTTTCATTTACCAATCTGCCGGTTTGGTGCAACTTTTTTGAGCCACAGCCATGTGTGGCAGTTTTAAAGCCAACGATAAGGAACACCTTTTTTTTGGTCTCCAGGGGGGGATCACTTGTTGGTTCCCGCCATCCGGTTCCAGAACGGTCTTTGAGTTGTTTTCAGGTGGTTTAGTCCTGATAGCTTCCGTATTTAACTCACTAAAAGTTAAACTCTTAGCAGGGGATCTGAGGGCAGATCAATCCCATTTAGGCCCCCCACCCAAAAAAAAACATGAGTCACCTTGTCTGCCCGCCCAAAAAGCAAAAATGGGTGGTTGTTCCTAGTCGTTTGCTTTACAAGAAATCCCCCAAAATGAAACCTTGTAAGACAAATAGTGGTGTTCCCCCAAAACCGCCATAACCCCCCCCCAAAAAAAAATAAATAAAAAAATAAGCAGACCGCCACACATCACTGCAGGGGGCCAGGTCAGCTTAAAGCTTAAGCGCCCCTGTAGGTGGCTACGGCCAAGTTTGCGGACTAAAAACAAACCGCCATGAACCCTGCCCCCCCCCCAAAAAGAAGAAGAAAAGAAAAGCGTTTCTAGTTGTTAGCTTTGAAACAGCCATAAACCCTGACCCCCCCACCCCCCCCCCAAAAAAAAAAAAAAACACTTTGGCCTCTCAACCTCACCCCCCACGAGTCTGCCCCAAACCGCCGAACCCCGCCAGCTGGTTAGGGGCCCCCGGGTTTTAGTCCTTTCCGTTTGCAAGGGCAACGCATTGTAGGTACCTGGTCTTGACGCACAACCATATGGGTTTGTTTCAAAGCTCGGGAGCCTCATGGCACGGCGAGACCCATGCCACGGAGAGACCCATGGCACGGCCAGACACGGACAACCATTGATCCCCGGCATTTCAATTGGCCATGGCTCAAAATCCAAATCGTACCCCCAGTGAACATCCCAATCCCACTAAAATAGGTTCTAAAATTGGTGGTGAATTCACAAAAAAAAGAAGATCCCCAAACGGTTTTGACAACACCCAACTGGATCCTGCACCACCGTTCAGAAGCCCTGGAATATCTGGAATGATGATTCCCCTGTGGAATGATGATTCCCCTGTACATACCAATTTACATCCCATTGGCTTTGACCACCACCGCCAAATTGGCCCCGCCTGCTCGCTGGCCTCCATAAGCTCCAGGCCGTGGCCGCCCACGCCGCCCGCCAGCCGCACCGACTGCCGCCCCGCGCGCGCTCCTGGCGGAGCTCGCGCGGAGTGCCGGGCTCGGCTCGGTTTGGTTCGGAGTGGGGGGGGGGGGGCCGAAATTTTGGGCGTGAAAGTTTCCCGGGCCGGTTGGATTGAAAGTCGATGGGTGTCTGTTCTTTTTCGTTTGGAAGAAGGGGGTGAAGCTCGTTTTGGTGGTTTGCTTTTTTTTTGCGAAAAATCGATGGGGTTCCCTGGAAAATGGATGGCATGAAGCCCATCTAAACCAGTGGAATCCATCTGGTTCTAACCAAAGTAAACCGATGAAAAGGAAACCTTTGTTGAAGCTCGTTTGGGCAAAAAGGGGTCCAAGAGTACCTCCTTCACTTGGATTCTTACGGAGCAATGCCCAGCTCCTCAGGCAATGACCGTGGATGGATTTGTGGGACAGGCATGCGCCCTGGAGCCATTCATGAGGTCAGCGCCAGATGCTCAAGCCGCAGAATGCAGTTGCAGAGCAGAATCGCAACACAAGGCGAGCTCTGTCACAGACTGTGCAGCTAAGCGACAACGACAATAGATCGCTGGAACTGCAGAGCAAACACACAAAGAGCCGACAAAACATGCAAAAAGAAAGAAAGAAAAGAAAAAACGCCTCGAAAGCAACCTCTATTGGGGCCAGCCTGGGACAGGCCAGGCGTTCTGATGGGTGAACAGGCAAAAAAAAACAGGCAACATGGAATGGGAGTTGACAAATCCCGGCCCCTGCAACATATTGCTAAGTTTCAACGTCGAACCTGCCACCTACGAAAAGGGCAACATGAGGCTTCCCTTGGCGGCCCCAATTGATGGGCTTGCACCTCCACGCCGCTGAAGAAGGCTGTGAAACCGCCCGCCCACCGCACGGTTCCAACTTGGAACCTCCAACATACCGCGTACGCCAAGATCACCAAGATTCCTTTCAGATCGGATGCTCAAAAAGTACTGTGGATGGTTGAAATCGAAATCCCGAAATCACACCGTTCAGAATCCAACTAGTTTCTGAGATGTCTTCCTTGTAAACACCAACAAACTGTATGGGTCATCCCTCTCCGGGTGACTTCTCTATTTTCTCCGTTCTCCGGGTTATTTCCAGGAGACCCTTTGAAAACTTCAGGTGTTTCAGTTGCATGAATCAAAAGGCAGCAGTGGCTTGCAAAAGGCAGGAGTGAAAATCAACAATTGGGAGAGGTTCTTCGGGAACACAATAGGAACCAAGTCTTGTTGTGTTTTTGCACAGCTTGGGTCCACAATTATACAACTCTTGCACTATCCCATCAATCATGCAACTCTGGCCCGCAACTATGCAACTCTTGCACTATCCCATCAATCATGCAACTCTGGCCCGCAATTATACACCTTTTGCACTATCCCATCAATCATGCAACTCTGTGCACTCAATTATACAAATCTTGCACTATCCCATCAAACATGCAACTCTGGCCCGCAATTATACAACTCTTGCACTATCCCATCAATCATGCAACTCTGGCCCGCAACTATACAACTCTTGCACTATCCCATCAATCATGCAACTCTGGCCCGCAATTATACAACTCTTGCACTATACCATCAATCATGCAACTCTGAGCACTCAATTATACAACTCTTGCACTATCCCATCAATCATGCAACTCTGGCCCGCAATTATACAACTCTTGCACTATCCCATCAATCATGCAACTCTGGCCCGCAATTATACAACTCTTGCACTATCCCATCAATCATGCAAGACTGTGCACTCAATTATACAACTCTTGCACTATCCCATCAATCATGCAACTCTGGCCTGCAATTATACAACTCTTGCACTATCCCATCAATCATGCAACTCTGTGCACTCAATTATACAACTCTTGCACTATCCCATCAATCATGCAACTCTGTGCACTCAAGTGGGTATTCCATTGATTTTACTGAAGATGCTCCGGAAATCTCTGAATCTGGCATTGCTCGCTATATCCTATCTCATTCTCTGGGACTTGCCGTTAGACCTTGAAGACGCAGGAAGGAAAGGACAAGAGATGACATGAATCTTTCGTATTCCTATTGACATGCAAATTATAAAGTTAGGAAAGGCATGCCTACAGGATAAAGGATTGGTGGCTCTCATATCCCTCTCTACCCTTTCTTACCTCTTAATCACATCCTAGATAGGTGAAAGGGAGGGAAGAGGATATGATGAATGAATTTGGCCATTATTTCCAAGACATAAAGGGGAGTTTGCGTTCTTTCTTGTTTTTCTTCTCCGTGTTTTGCGGGTGTTTTGCGCTGAGATTCGGGTGTGGTGAATTCCGGTTTTGCCAAGTTGTCACCCAAAGGCGCAAATTCTGAACCATTTCGAAATCTGAATAATTCTGATTTCTGAATGCTTGGCTCTGATTCATGTGAACGATTCTGACTGTAAATATGTGTAAATTGGAGGGCTCCTTCTGTCAAGAACCGATTAATTGCGATTTCTAGAGGTGTCAGGTGTGCAAACCAATTTCCAGGAGTGACAATCAATTTCTGGGAGCTTTATCTCAAAAAAGTGGCAGTCTCCGGAATTTACGTTAGATTGATTTCCATGATTTGGAAGATCCAGGATTGTTTCAAGTGGTGCGAAATGGATTTCAAATCACCCAGTATGTTTTAATGGAATATAGAGCTACTATAGAGTGCCACTAAATACAGGTTGTGTACCCCAATCTAATCTGGGTGGTTGGGGATAGTGAAAAACTATAGAGCCACTAATAAATACAGGTTGAAACCAACAGTAGCTGGGCTTGGCACCGCAAGGAGTCCTCGGCTCACCGACAGCGAGTGGTTCGCCTGATGCGTGATCTTCTGCAGCGCCTTATCCTTCTCCTCCTGCGGACGAAAAACATGAGTCATAATCAAAACTCGGTCTCAAAATGGTCGTAATCCCAGAACCACGCTTCAAGAATTAAGAAGGGGGGCGCAACTATTTATGGTTGGGATTGTCCCTTACTAACGTTAATCTACCTGGGTTTGGATTGTGGCTCACATGGGGTGACCAGCGCCGTGCCAAAAAGAAAACGCTGAAGGCCAATGTCAGCAAATACATGTATGTTGTATTGTGTATCTTTGTACGCAAAGGATGTAGATGCAGGCTCATCGATATACATACAAACTATGACTTGGTATGGAAAGGATGTACAAATGGGGGTTGTTCCTATACTATACTAGGTCCCCGGAATCACCTCATTTCCGGCCTTTCACCATCCTGTTGCCGGCCTACGCTTTCCTTTTCGCGGCAGCACAAAATGTTAAATAGTTTCATGAGCGCAGCATGTGCTACTCACCTCTGCGGTAGATCCATGACATGCTCTACTTAGTGGTCATGCATCTTGGAATGTTCCATGAGAAAAGGTAGCATGCAATGTATGTTTGCCGATGTATGCTAACATATGTCGGAGTTCATGTCTGTATCTGTGTGTGTGTTGTATGTGTATGTTTGTATGGGTTTATGTGTATATGTGTGTGTGTGCGCGCGTGTATGTATGTGTGTAGGTGTGTATGTGTGTGCGTGTCTATATGTATGCCTGCATTCATCATAATTACACACAATACACATACGTACTGCGCTTGACATCAACACATGTGGCTTCCTGCACGGGTCATGATGATAATTCCACGCGGTCCGTTGGACGTTTTAGGCATCGCACATACATAAGCCCTGTGCTCACGTGTTCTTCATCTTGCGAGCCAAAACAAAAAGGAAAGAAGAACTTGTGTTTTTGGTTGTCCCTCCAAACCAAGAACAACTGTAACCTTGCTTCTTCTTGCCACTAAACTGGGCTGTCCGTCTTCTGATCCCTTGCTAAAAGTGACTAACCTTTAGTGGGTTGAATGGACATCCCCATACACCAAAAAGTGTCCGTTTTCTGATCCCCCGCTAAAAGTGACAAATCTTTAGTGGGTTGAATGGACATCCAACCATTGAACTTTTTCAAAAAGCTGGAAACCTTCGGCACCGGATGGCTGGGGACCAAGTCAACTCAAGCCTCATTCGTCTTTCGGAGCGCTCCTCGATTTGGGTCTGCAGCTCTTGGCACTGCTCCTGGGCTTCACGGGGATCGGGGATCGGAAGGATCAGCCAAATGAGGATGGCTTCGTCTTTCGAGTTGGGTCCCCTGTCACACTGTCACTGCTTGGGTGGGTGTAGCTTGCTCAGGGAATGAGAAATGGAATGAGCCCGAAGAAAAACAACCATCCCCGACGATTTACAGCTTGCATATGAATAAATCCAGCCATTCAAGCAGCTCCTTGTAGGGTTTATGTATCATGTCACAGGCACCACACCTTAACATAAGAGTACGTGTAAAGATAGATGCCCCTGAAAATTGCTGCCTCTTCTTCTATGATTTCCATTTTAAACCAACCTTCAACTCACTTCCTGCGTGGATTGGACAATAATAAGCCCAGGAACTGGTTGCTTCCCGTACTAAGATGGCAACCAAACTCATACAAAAGCGATCATCGAGTCCGAGTCGGGATGCGGGGTCGATCACTTTTCCACAAAAGGTGGCAAAAAAAAGGACCCCAAAAAAACGCACCTCACGTCGCCTATCAAAATTAGTGGCCCCAAAAACGAGCCTCACGTCCCAAGGCTCTCGGAGCTGGATGCGCTCGCCGCGCCAGCGCTGCTTCTCTGAGGCCGCGAAGTCGCAGCGGCCCCTCGGCGCCGACCGACGCGGAACGCGGAACGCGGAAGCCGCGGAAGCCGCGGAAATGCGACCAGGCTGTCCGCTTAAAGCCATGATGATAGCCATAAATATCGATTCATCAAAATGAGTTACTACTGTTTTTTAACCATAGAGTTTGGTTAAGATATAGCCCAAGAAGAGCTTCATCAGAATAGGGGATGCTCGTTTACCATAGAGTGTCGTGAAGATAAAAGGAATGGGATATTCAAACAAACAGGATGATAAGATTATGTTGCTTCTTCGCAATCGAGCAACATTCTGCTCCCCGGCATTGGGAGCTGAGCCAATGATGATACAAAGCACTCAAGGCTAGAAAAGAGGCGCTTCAAAACGGGGTTGTCTCAACCCCAAAAAGGCGCTCCCTCAAAAAGCCCTGACACACAAATGTCGTCTTTGGCCTTTTGCCCCGTTTTTGCCTGACCACGTTGGTACTGCGCACACGATTCTCGGTGACTCGCCTGAAGTCCACCAGTCGACCTCGCAGCCGGTGCACCAGCGCATTGTAGGGCTCGTCCAGGGCCATCTCGACGGACCTGCGCGACGACGCGCATACGGTGGATGGGTCCTCGAAATCCGCTTCTCGCACCATGGAAGAAGCCCTGGAATAATTATTTCAACCTGTAAATACCAACGAACACTGCTTTCCCCTAGTTGCAATGTTGTTTCCCTGTAAATACCAACGAGCACTGGCTTCCGGTTTTAAAGTGGTGCGAAATGGCTTTCGTCCATGCACAGTGTCTCGTAGCACGCTGGACCAAGAGTGAAGAGCCAGGTTTCCTGTCCATGCACTAAGGAGGGAGTTGCGGTGCACAAATCGCAAGAAGGATTGCCAAGACCCCAACTCGAAAGGGCCAATATATGCAACAGTGTAACAGTTCCCGCAACAAGACTCAACAGAATCCGCCTGGAGGGTAGCTGAAGGAAGCCGAATGGAGACATTGGAAGTCTACAAAACGCCAAAACGCTAGAAATCTAAAGCTCTTCAAGGCTTTGCGGTCTGACGAAGAACTAAAAGTTATTTCAATGCCGCTGTTCTGGTAGCATCGCCAAACCCAGCTTGCCTCCATTTACTTTGACAGTTCTGCATTCCTCTCACTGACCTCTAGTTCCCAACATTCAGCCAAAGTGGCTGTGAAACATCACCTCAAAATGGGGTTGCCCTGGCGAACGGCTGCTTCTCCCGACATTTCAAGGTGCCCAGATCACACATCACTTGAGTCGCAATCAAAACCTGGTACTAAAATGGTCTGCCCAGAACCATGTAAAGAATTAAGAAGGCGGCCGCAGCTATTTATGGTTGGGATCGTCCCTTACTAACCTTCATCTACCCGGGTTTTGATTGTGGCTCACTTAATGAGCTCAAAGAACTGCCACACCGAAGGTCTATCAGACTCGCCAAATCCGCAAATTGAAGCCACATACCCCCCCCCCCGCACGGTGCCTGCACATATCCCGCATGGGCAAGCCTTCCTCACCTAAGTTCGACACAAAGCAATGCAAAGCTACGGGTCGGCTCTGGTGAGAAAAACACAAGTTCTACCAAAACGATTTTAAATTCGACACAGGGAAGCAAAGCGAAGGTATGAGGGCTCTGGTGAGAAAAACGCAAGTTCGACCGAACCGATCCCAAAAAGAGCAATTCATGAAGGTCACACTGTAAGGCTGTAAGTGTAAGATCGCCCGAGCCTTGCGGCGAATCCTATGCCCAGTGGCCATGGGAAAAAAGAGGGCATCCTTTTTTGGTTGGTTGACTTTAAAGGAACCCTTCCCAAAAGAAGGGGGAAAAAGGGCGGCATCCACTGGGCACCTGGGTATGGAAACCAAAGATACATTCAGCATGGCATTCTGAGTTTGTGTGCTTCTTGATGGTGCAAGCTGAGAACTGCAAGAGCAGTTCCTAACTTTAATTAAAGGGCCTTGATAATTGGCAGCGGGAAGAGACATCACCACGACCATGCAGACAAACAAGTTTATCGTCTATGCCCCGTCCTTGGCTTTGCGACACGGCATCAACCGATGGTGACCGCTTGGCGACTCGATCACTTAAGGAGCAGTGCCATGGGCAGGGCGAAACCCAGAAATCCGCTTCTACTTTCAGCGGCTCAAGGAGCTAGATGAATAAGAACTCATGGCCGAATGAGCTGAACGACACAAAGAACATTCGCAAGCCTGAGGCACGATTCCCATCTGAGCTCAACATTCGCCTGCTGAAGCTGAAGATTACGAATTCTCTTCAGCTGGAAAATTGGTCAAAGTCAGCATGCCAGCATTTCCGTGTTCAACGCGAAGGCTGAACCAAAAGAAATGGCGGTTCCCGGACCTTGTTGGGGTTTGCAATTGACGACCCAGACCCTCCATTGGACAGCCCAGAGAGGCGTTGGGGTCTCAAAACCTGGCGGTTTGAGGGCCCAAAATGAATCAAATTGGAGCGTCTGGGTTGCCAAAAAAAAGATGACCAATGGGAAACCAAGAGGAAACCAAGCACCTGGAGCATGGGTTCAATCGGAAACCAAAAGGAACACCAACAGGGATCCTTACATTATACACCTGAACATTACCTTGTAAATGGCGGTGTCCCTTTATTTTGGTGGAAAAAGAGCCATGGTTCAATTTAAGGAGCCCTGACGAAGCACCTGGAGGATCAAAAGATCAAAAACAAAGTGCAGGGCAGGTGTCCGTCTTGCGTGTACTCCTGCATTTCCAGCTCCGAGATCTCCTGCAATGAGGCTGGTGAGCCAAGACCAAGGCTCGTAGACCACGCCAAAGAAACCAAGGAAGAGCAGATCGTTTTTGGGGGGGGGGCATTTTGACCAGTAAAACGAGAGATTTTGACCTTTTTTGATCGTATTTTTGCATTTGTTTGCAAAGGATTACTTGGAGAGAACGAGCTTCAAACCATCCTCGACTGGCGATCTCACATCAAGTCCATGCCTCTGCCTAGAGTACTGAAAGTCGATTTGGCTATTACGGTTCACATCAAGTCCGTGACTCTGCCTTGACTACTGAAAGTCATTTTTTCTTTCGGGGGGCAAAAAGCCACCGTCTCTCCTTCAGCAGTTGATCCTGGTAGATAGGGTCGGGCCCAATCGTCCGCGCTGAAGGGGAGCTGTCTGGCCCCAGAAAGGGCGCAGGCCCTGGCGAGAGGAGCAAGGGACAGCACTGAGCATGCCCAAAGCATGTAGAAATGAATGCTTGGAGCACCCCCTACTCCAAATACCCGGCCTTTTTTCAGGGTATCATGTCGACCCTCTGCTAAATTTGGAGGTATTTGCCGTGGAAAGCCAAGTTTTCGCAAAATACCCTGAAAAAAAGCGGGTCTTTTGAGTAGGGGGTAATTAGGGTCTTCAAAGTATCAGTGTGACCAGTGTGTCTGCCACGTCAAGTGCGAATTTTAGTCGCGCTGATTGTGGCGAGACTGCGCCTGGCATCTAGCATGGCTCACTCCAAGGTGCTCAAAAGTGTGCGTGTCAGCCATTTAAAGGACCGGGAAGAGCAGTGGCCAACACCAATGCAGGGGTGCTTGTACATACCCCTTTTACATACCCCTTGCACAAATGAACCCAAAAGGCCTGCTGATGTTCATACCCCTCTCCGCAAAAGGGGTACATACCCTTAGAAAGTGGGTTGGAAACCACGGAAGCCAAGGGGTATGAACAACGGGTATGTACTTCCACCCTTAGAACCAAGCTCGCCATAATGGTCGCAAACCTGCACATGTGTCCTCTTTGACACAGGTGATTCTGAAAAGCAAAACATCCGTGATTTGTTTTGGTGCAAACACATAGCATGCAATCCCCCAACACAACGCACTAACATTCCCCTCACTGCAGATCGGGAACAACTACAGCCACACGTCTAGCAGCGACAACGAACCCGAATGAAAAGCAAAAGCTGACAAGCCAAACACCAGGAGCTGCATGGATGGCGTAGGGCAAATCCCCACAAATCTAGTAGTATGAATTTAACAAATGACGACCAGTTGCATCCAACCTTTGGAATTCCCACCAACTAACATGAAAGTGCGCAAACCCTGGTAGAAAGACTACTTTCCTCTTGGCAAGGGGCTTTGTGCACTTCCATGTCAGCTGGCGGGAGGGTAGCTTTCCGTTTTTTACTTTTCTCTTCCTCCCGCTTCGAGTCACCTGAGGTCCGTCCCCTCCCTCGGCCTAGGGGCTTGTGGCCGCCAGCGGTGAAGGCTCCGTTCTGGGCCTGGCGCAAGGCCGAGAGGCGGCGTGGCCCCGTGGCGAGACCCACGGAAAGCAACCTGCGTAGATTTGTGGGGAACCCAACCTGGCGCGGCGTGTTTCTTTTCTGTTTGACTTCCCTTTTTAAGCCACAAAAAAAGGGGACCAACTCAAGAAGACAGACCCGCTTGTGATCAGAGTTGCAGATTCCTCACAGTTGATGGCCTCAGCTTGCGGTAGCAGCCATTGGGCCTGTTGGAAAAACCAACCAGAAGCGGATCGGACAACCAGTAAACTGGTTTTCCAATCAGAGAAGACAAGATCCAAAGGTGACTGGTGAATGATTCGGCCCCGAAACATCCCCCCTGAACCTGGCAAGAGGTGGCAAAATTGCAACAATGCAAGAACACACACATGTCACCATGAACATCACAGCTTGAAGTATTATTGCCCCCAAAATAGCCATGGGTAGCTTTTCCCAGGTAAGAAATATCATATGTTTGTCATCGGTTTTCCTAGTGGTCATCCCATGTAAAGAACTTCTTAATCACCCCCCACTTGTTGTCTTCACTCGGGCGGCAGAGCGCTTACCTTCTGCCTTAGCGGGATGGCCTGGAGGTTGCCGTTGGGCATGCCTTGCCGCGGCAGCCCGCAGCTGTGGCAAAATCTGGTGCCTGCAAACGGAGGGGACACCCCTAAAAACCATGCGTGGCTGGCTGGAGGAAAGCGACCCTGCCTCTTTGTTCACTCAATTGCAGACCATCCCCAATCAATTTACCTGTGGGCATACATGATACTGAGCTGAGTTGGTGTGAAAAGAGAGCTACTGACAAAACACATGGCACGTCAAGGTCCTCAACATCAATCAACGTCCTAGCTGCAGCAACTTGTAACCGGCCACTCCACTTCAACAACAGTTGAAGAAACATGGCTGGGCAGCGAAAATCTCACATTAGTCGATGATCCGCGCTTGCGTTCGACCTTCGGCTGAATGGAATCTCTTGTGTGTCAGCTGGCACGCAGTCGTGAAAACATGCGACCACTTTGCATCTGAGGCAGTCGAGTCCATAAATCTGAATAAGCTTCATGGACTGCAATTTGCAGACCATTCAGAACGGCTGCGAATGTCTTGAACTAGCATATATGGCGGTGGTCTGAAATTATTTGTTCCCGAAAGCGCCATCTTCGCGGCGCAAAAACAACCCCTTTCGGCCTCCAACGCGGATCTCTCGCAGGGCTATCTGCACAACATACCTCCCAGTAGTATGCAAAGTTCTTCTCCGCAGTCCGGCTTGAAAGTCCCAACTTTTCAGTACAGACGTGTGGTGCACGAAGTGCACTTCCGCAGCCACAGCTCGAAGGCCATACAGAAGCACAGGAGGGAAAGGACCCGTTGGTCACCCACGGCAGGGTCCGACTAGGAAGTTGCGCTCCGAAAGCTTCAGAACTCCAACCAGCTCCTTTCTGCTGGGCGTTGCCCTTGCAGCGCCTGGTTTTTGTCACGTAAAAACCCGCAGGCCGCGCTTTCCTCCGACGAACTTGTGTGCATTCTGCGCGCACTGTCGGCAAATCCACATGGTTTCACATAACATCTTCCTTTTGCTAGACCACCCCTTACACAAAACTTTCGCGAGAAAAAGCAACTTTCCGGACCTGCATCGCGAAGCTTTCGCGGAGGGTAACACTAAGACAAGCAGGTCTTCCCCATCATATCTGAATATACCGACCTGTCGGAAGACTATCACCAGCATATTGTTAGTGCCTTCCAATGAAGGGCGCTTGACATGTTTTTTGAATATGGCACTTAAGGCCGTGTCGGTGGCCTAACTAGATTTGTTTGCTAAGTGCCCTTTTTGGCTTGATAGGGGTTGGGATTCTGTTGAAATTGAACAGCTACCCGTGTCGAAGTGTGACAACTGCCACATTTGATTGGGGCCGACCCGGAAAGCCCGAACATGGCGTTTTCGGTGTCAAAGCGTGTCATTTGCGTGTCAGTGAAGGTGCGAATCGAGGTCACTTACCGCTTGAAAAGGTCACTTACGCTAGTGTGTCATTCGCGGGTTGCTGCGGCTCGATTTGCCCAGCGTCGGTCCCGCCCCCGTGTGAGTGTCATTCGCATTCACGTGTCACTGCGGCTCGATTTGCCCGGACTGAGGAGGGATCTGCTGGGGAGGGCAACCCTGAGGACCTAAGTGCCCTTTAAATGGCTTAAGTGACCTCTTTGATTTAGGACTAAGTGCCCTTGTTTTCAAAATGCATCATAGCACCCAAAAAAAGAATCGAGGGCACTGACAAAAAAGCTGGCATGTGTTACTTAAAATGTTGTTGTTTCATGCGGAGAATGAACTTGGGATTCTGCCTTGGCCAGCCAACAGGTACCACTTTCGCCGCGCCTTTCAAGTAGTGGCTCTCGCAGTTGTAGCAGTTCAGCGCCTGACCCCGGCGAGAATCCGAGTGTGCCGAAGCTGCGGAGCTCTGCCCGAGATGCAAAACTGCCAGAAGACAAGCTATGAGTATGCGGTTCAATTACGGGTCCACTCGGCTCACTTCAAAGCAAGACAACATCTAGTCGTGCATACTCTAAACCCATGTCAAAAAATGACTATGACTGCTTATTGCCAAGAAGCATTGCAGCGTGTGTGTGTGTGTGTGTGGTGTGTGCGTTTGCATGTGTACGTGTTTGTGTGAGTGTGGTGGTATGTTTGGGGTTTGGGTGTTTGTGTGCTTGTGTGTGCGTGTGTCTGCGTGGGTGTCTGTGTCTGTGTGTGTGTGTCTCTGCGTGTGTGAGTGTCTTGTCGGTGCGTGTTTGTGTGCGAGTGCGCTTGTCCGAGCGTGCGCTTATTCAAGTGGATGCGACTAAGCGCTTTCGAGCATGTTTGCGCACGCACACGATTTTGTGTGTGCCTGTGTCCGTGCGTGCATGGGGGAAGGGAAGTCAGCTATGGGGCTCTCATGAAGCATGTAAATAGACAGAGAGAGAGCGAGAGAAAGAGAGAGAGAGAGAGGAGAATGCAAACAACCATCTTTAGCTGCATACATTAAATGGGCGGCAGCGTGGAATGCTTTGATTTAGAGACACGTGCACGAAAGAATCTTGCATGATATGTTGTAGAAACAACGGTATTGGTGTCCAAAAAAACTAGCGGGTCGCCGAAATCGCCCTCAAGACGGAGGTCTCTCACCGAAATGACGACACAATATCATGGAACAATACTTACGTATCTCAGGCGAGCATTCTCACATGTGCCTCTCTTTTTAGGATTTGGGACACCCCCCCCAAAAAAGGCATTATCTTCAAAACCCATCCCAAAACCATTTCCCCCCCAAAAAAAAAACATCCCAAAAACCATCCCAAAAACCATCCCAAAAACCATCCCAAGAACGGGGCACCTCACCAAACAAAAGCCGAAGCGCCACGTGTTGCTTGCTCGCGCTCGATCGAGTCCGCGGCTCGATCGACTTTTGCGCGAGCCTGGCCTTCCTGGGCTTGCCACAGCTTCCGCAGAAGTTGGAGTCATCGGTGTACTCCACCTGGCACCTAAGTAGCTGCCATGGTCGCTCCCCTCACTTTCGATCCAGGGGGGGGCTGGCCAGAAAAGTGCAGGAACATGTTGTTTGCCACTGAAATGCTCGAAAGTATGAATCTAGGGGTACCTTCCCCATTCTTTCCAGGGATCCGAATCTTTTCAGGAAGCCATCAACAACCCAGGGGAAACAGGTGCGGTTTTTGAAAAGAACGATGGTTGAGAAGAATGGACAAGGAATCAACCCCTTGAACAGGGATCTTTACATTATACACCTGAACATTGCCTTGTAAATGGTGGTTCCACTGTATTTTGGCGGAAAATGCCATGTTTCGAATGGCCAACATGTATCTGTTAAGGAGCCCTGTTGAATGAAGTCCAAAACATTTCAGGGCGGCAGTCCCTGAAGATGAGCCTCTCGGAGCGAGCCTCTCTCTTTTGGATTGGCTCGAACTTGTCGAAGCGAGCAAGGCTGGTCATTGCGAAAGCCACGAGTTTCTTTTGAGCAAAATTCGCCGTGCCATGCTACAGCCTGAAACGGATCACAAGGCATCCTGCAGAATTGTAGGGGTTGGGCATGTTGGGCATGTTGTACATGTGCCTCGATGCGTTTCTTTTGCCGGCCGGTCAAAACTCCCGGATCGAAACAAACGTGCCATGGTCTGCCGTTCAGAGGTGCCCTTTTGGGAAAAAAAGATGGGTTTCCTGGTAAATGGATAGCATAACAAACTCCATCTACACCAGACCCCATCTAAATCCAACGAACCGATCAAAGGAATCAAGTCCAGCTCCCGACTGGAAACCATTTCTGTTTTATGAAACAACATCGACATCAAAGGTACACCTTTCCGCTGGCATGTCACCTCAGATGCCCAGTGGATTTCCATGGGAACAAAAGGGCATCCGATTTTGCTTTTGTTGGTTGAGCATAAACGAAAATTGGAAGAAATCCTTGCCAGAAAAAAACAAGTCGGGGAAAAAACAAGGCGGACTCCACTAAGCAACCGTGTCACCAGACTTCACGCGTTTTGGCCGAATTTGGCGCCAATGGCCGTGGTTTTGAGGCGCAGACCAGGGACACTCCGTGTCTGGCTCCTCAAACTGGTCGACGCCTAAGGCGGCCGCCAAATCCTCCTGCCAAAGGCGACGGACGACGAAAACCGCCAGCTGGAGGGTCTCGTGCGCAATTTTCATTTCGGGCCAACAAATACACGTTTTTTCGGGGCGGCTCTGAGGTTCTCCAGTTTTTTGGCGCGGCTCTGAGGTTCTCAAGTTTTTTCGGGCAGCTCGAAGGTGCACAAGGGATTTGGGATTTGTGGCCAAAAAACACGTGGTTTTTGGTTGGTGGTTCTGAGGTGCTCGAGTTGAAAGTGGCAGTTGTTCTTGCAAAAGAACACGGTTCTATGGTGGTAAGGGAAACCAAAAGGAAGACCGACACTGTTTTGAGGGTAGCTGTTTGTGCGTTGTGGCTTTGCAGGGACATCGAAAAGAAAACCAATGTCTTTCCGATGGCTTAGGGCGACACGGGCCCGAAACCGTACGCTACCACCTACAGAACCATCAGAACCAAAACCCCGCCCCCCAACCAGAAAGGGTTCTTCGATTCTTCTTATTGGGTCTTAGGGTCCTGAGCACCCTCCCAACAAGAGGCCGGGCCTAGTCTTATATCACATTCCATTTGCAGCTTGTTTTTGTTGCCCCTGGTGTTAAATCGAATCCGTCACTGGCCACACCGTGGATGGTTGCAAAATCGATCCATTTGGCACCACTTGGCTGTGGCTCAAAAAACCGGGATCCCAAAATGGAACCCTAGTAAGTGGAAACATGGACCAAAGGCTGCGTAACCCCTCCTGCTTAATTTGGAGCCACACCCATTTAGAAACACCAGAAGCCATCAACATGGTACGTCATGATCAAGGCTTTTTAGGCGCGGCGAAATGGATTTCGCAACCATCCGCAGTTTCAATCTCGAGGTGTATTTAGCAATGCTCCAAACATCGACCCCTGAAAGCTCCAAATACCCGGCCTTTTTTCAGGGTATCATGTCGACCCTCTACTAAAAAAGGTGGTTTCTTACCATGGAAAACCGATCGGTCTTCCCAAAAATACCAACTGAAAAAAGCGGGTCTTTTGAGTAGGGGGTAATTTTCTAGGTCCAAGTTGTGTTGGTTCCCTTGGGGCTCAGCATTTCCAAAATTTTGGAAAGCCTTCGATGTTCAAGCATGCTTCAAGCAAATGATCCCAGTGTCAAAGACAACACACTGTGTTTATGCTAGTCATTTAGCTAGTTGTTCAAAGCTACAAACATATATGGTTTCATGAATTTTGCTATTTCCTGTTTTTACATGAAGGTAGCTGCATCCTTTTCTGGAACATTGGTTAAACGAGCACTCAAATGGGCATGCCCCTTTTGTGCGCTCTACCAAGAGTGAACTCAAGGAGCTGGACATAAGGGTTAACCTTTTGGGGCCACTAAAAATGGATCGACATGGGGAAACCAAACGGTCAGAAGGTCGATTCGCTTTGGGCAAGTGATCGGCCCGACTATAACTCGGTTGCGAAATCTGCTCCCCTGCTAAAAGTTCAACTTTTAGTGGTTTAATGGAAAACCCACTAGTTGGATCAAAAAGGCAACAAATCCTAACATCCCTTGGCAAAATGCACCAACTTAACTCCGTGGAAGCCTTGAGGATTGACTCAAGCAGCCAAGTGCAGTGCGATGAATACCCGACCCGCCGACTGGAGGAAAAAAACCGAAGCGCCATTGTCCCGCACTTCGAAACACAAGCCACTCGTGGATTTCTCAACGATATTCATGAAGAACTGGTGGCTCACCACCTTGGCCTGTAAAAAAAGAAGCACCAGTCTGGGGTACTGTGCCTTCGTCTGGATGAGCAACATATTGTTGCAACAATCGGACTGAGAGCTCCCAGCCACATGACTCGAGATCCATGAAATCCAATCCTGCGAGGGCTCCGAGTCGCCCTTCTTTCCTTTGCCTCGCGATGGACCGCTGGCCTCTTCAGGTCCCATGAAAGTCCCAAGTGTTGGCCTGCTTGTTACCTGAGCTGCAAAATTGAACAAGGCATACTATATTCGGCAACAAAAAAACTGGACTCAAAGCGACATTGTCCTTAAGGAAACGTGTTTCCAAAGGTCCGTCCAGTTCCGACGGCGAACTTGCTCCGCTCTTCACGGTTTCATCATGGAGTCGAGGCCTGCCATTCGAAGCTGAACATGAAGCTCCCAAGATGTGGCCATGACTCAAAATCCAAGTCGGTTTGCCCCCAGTGAACACACCAATCCAAACACTGAAATAGGTTCTAAAATGTGTGCGCCGACAACCCCAAAAATGGGATCCCATTGATTTTGACAACCACAGCCATGTCTGGAGACTTTACAACGTCCCCAAGCAAGAACTCCATATTCGGTAGCTCCCAAAGACTCTCTCTTTGCCAGCCCCAGAACAGCTCTTCTAACAGCTGCCATTTGTCATACCGTGGATGGTTGAAGTCGAAATCCGCAAATCGCGCACAATTTAGAAAAGAAATACCAATCAACGCTATGGTTCCAACCATGGTTTCCTGTTGTGGTACGAAATAGTCTTCCACTCCGCTTCCTGCCCGAGCCTTTTGCACCGCCTTTGGCGGTCTCGCCCTTGTCGCCCTTGGAAGCTTTGCCACCCTTTCCTGCCCAGACGCTCATGGGACTTCCAATGGAAGACCCAGACCCTCCGTTGGACACCCCAGAGGGGTGTTGGGGTTTCAAAACCTGGCGGTTTGAGGGCCCAAAATGAATCGGGAGCGTCTGGGTGCAGTGGCAAAGGGCAAAATGTTTGTTTCGAGATCATGCACTCGCGCATTCCGCATGCCCCATTCCGAACAGCACGAGCCTTGAAAAAAAGAGCTAGTGCCTAGAAATTCGGGGGTACACGTGGGCTGTTGTTCAGACTCCTGCGAAAGAATCTGAATGTTCCCTGAAGTTTTGACATCGCTTTGTGTGTCTTAGAATCTCATGAACCATGTTTAGCTGCAAAAACAGCCATTCCGCGCAATACCAATAAAAAATCGTCGAGATGCAAGGCTAGCAGTATAAACGTATATCAGCTGCCACTGTTGCCCAAGCATGAAGCATATTCAGCCTCTGGGAGCTTGTTTACGTGCATTATTCTTCACATTGAGTAGCAGCAACTTGGCAAACACCACAGCATTGACTGCTTCCCGCTTGGAAACACATTGTCCGCCCGGCAAGGATGCCTGTCATTGTTCGCTAGTAACCTCACACACCGCATCTTTTTTGAGGCTGTTCGGAGCTAGACAAAACATCTATCACCCTTGGGCTTTGTGACTCAAATATGGATATGGGTCAAAATTAAACCACCAGGGGACCGCAAATTTACGTCCATGGTTCCATTTACCGGGTTCCATTCTGGGTACCTATTTTTGACCCACGGCCATCTCGCAAGCGAATGCACTCTGTCTCTTCTCCCTGCCTCCTCCCATGGCGCTCAAGGATCCATGGCGAAAATGCGGCCAACGCGCATTGGCACGCAGGGCAAACAAAAAAGCTGAGAAGCGAGAAGCGGCACATTCAAATCCGCAAAGCCCCCTGCATTGGTGGGGGGTTTACACTGAAGACCTTGATGAAATGTGGTTTCACTCTCTCCCAAGCCAGTGCCAGTCTATGGCGAACTAGTTCATTTGCTCTTTCGCCCGTTGGAAAACCAAAAAAAACACATTGATGTATTTCCAGCAATCATAGATTCCCTTTCAAACCACTAGGGGAAATCATTTTTTTCTTTAGCCAATGGAAGAACTGTGTTCATTCCTCTCGATCTAATCCGACGGGCTCGTCTTGCCCTAGGCAACCTGTGAGCAGCGTCAGCGAGCGGCTTGTGACAAATGCTTGGCTTGCCGGCGTAACAATCCCAGCCATGTATTTGACTATACACATAGGCCTATGCATGGGAACACATAAGGAAAGAAACGCCTATGTGACCACACTTGAGCAATCCTGGGACATGCCCATGGCAATCCCAGACTGATGATCTTGCGGCCCAAAGTTTGTCCTTCGCTCGACGAAAGAAAACACCGCGCACACCTCTTTGCCCACCACGAAACACCCGCATGGCCAGTGACATGTTCGTAAAACAAAATAAAGACGAAAACATATATATATATATATACTGCACCAATCAAACAGAAAACATGCACAGTGCGGATGGCACCGGCATTTGTTCGCGAAGATGTTGCGGATTCTTGTCGAAACAGCGACGTCCTGCTGGCTTCCTCCAAATTGTTTTGGCAATTGCTGGCCCAGGGACAGCCACCCCAACATGGCTGTCTTCCCCTCGGTTTTCCCGTAAAACCACAAAAACATAGGGTGCATTCAAAAAAGGGACACCCCCACGTGGACTTCATCTGCGCCCATCCGGTCACGTGGCACAGCTCTTGGGCCACCCGCAGGCCCACGTTGCCCGAAGAGGCCAGCGTCAGCACCTCGAGCGACGGCACTCCGACACCTGGTCCGAGTCTCAGGGCGACTCCAGGGGATCCAAACAAAATCTACCGGGCAGGGGCAAACTGCGCGTAGAAATCAAAAAAAGGTACGATCCGATCCAGGACCTTTGAACCCCCAATGGCTGGCACATAACAACCAAAACAGCCATTGGGAGGTCATTCCACAGACCATTTGCCAGCCATTGGGGGGTCCAGGATGTTATCAGAATCAGAGAGTTCTGACTTGGGATGCAGACAGGCAGAAAAACAGACAGGCAGGCAGGCAGGCAAACATACGCATCTGAAGGCGCACAACACAAACATAGGCATGAGGCCCCTTGACAAGACCTCGAGCAGCAAACATGTCGTCTCCAGTGATCGAATAGGACAGCAAGAGTCAAAAGACTACTACAATATTCTCACAGACCTCCTGGTAGCTCCCAAAATCTCCCTCTTCAAAAGCAAGTTTGGATACCCCCAGCTCCAGAACGGCACTCTTCTAACCACCAGCTAATGTCAAAACTCTGGACATCCACGTGGGTGGATCTACGGCCCACTGCCATGCCGAGCATCGCACGGCCACCTGGCTCACGATCACCATGCGCCTCATGACGACCTCAGATGACCCCACACGGCCCCGTGTGGGGGTCCCTGGTCTTGACGCTCCGTTTCCAAGAAATGATTCGATGATCTTCTCCACTCCACATCACTCCAACAATCAAACACTTTGCAAGGGGGATAATCATTATACATATTCAGCCCGAGCAGCAATACGTCTTGACCAATGCAAACAAGTTGGTTGTTTTCGCCAACCGGCACATGCAAAACAAATGAACACACAAATCTGGCTTCGCGTGGTATGGCAAAATGTGCTAGTCAGTCTCCTAAACCAACCCACTCCTGTTGATAAGTTTGACTCTTCCTCATGACCTCATGTGTGGTTCTATACCCGGCCAAACAAACTCTGGCTGGGCACCGTGATGCCAGTCACCACAAGAGCTTTGATGTTGCAGTGTGCTCTTTCAGGTACAAGGACATTTATGGTCCATCACATGGAGTCATTTGGCTGTGGGTCAAAAATTGGTACCCAGAATGGAACCCTGGTAAATGGACACATGGACTAAAACCTGCGGTCCCCTAGTGGTTCAATTTTGACCCATGCCCATTTGTGCTTTGTCAGAGTCCTCGTCAGGCCACCGGGCTGTCAAGCAATGCATCCCGAATGCATGAGGCAAGCTTGGCAGGCAGCGGTTCGAATGTATCATTATTTCAGGGCGCAAGGCTGCGTCATTCATGCCGAAAAAATGAATCCCGTATCGAATACATACATACATACATAATATATATATATATATGTATATGTATGACATGATGTGCCGGTCATGTACACAAAGCGAACTGTCCTGTAAAGAAGGTGTTCATTTCCAGCGAATGGGATGCTTCAAATGTTTCACTTGGCTGGTTTTCCAGCTCTTCGATCAATTCACGTCAGACCTAAGGCAATCGCGAATTGGCACCTCTGCAGCTCTTTCAAGAGCTCCTTGCTGCGATCACCTGCGGAAAGCCCTGCTGATGGAAGAGGTTTGGGTTTTGGACCGCTTGCAACGGACTCATGCCCATGGGTGGCCTTTTGGAAAAATAGATGAGTTTGGTAAATGGAATAAACCCCTTCTGAACCAGTGCCAGTCCTTTTTCACCAAACTGCTAACCTAAAAAGGGCCCCTACGCTCATGCCTTGCATGATTGTTGCAATGACGGGAGAAGAGAAGTCCCCGACTGAAAAGCGGCAGTGATCAGTCCTTGTTGCCTTCAAACATGGCATCAATCATGCAAATTCGATTCAGCTGGTCACCATAGCTATGCAAAGGAAATGTGTAGAAGGCCCAACATGAATATCTGAACATGCATCTGAGCAAAGGACCCATATCTGGCCATGTCAAGCAAGTGTCATGGCTGTTGGTCAAACCGGATGTGCCCTCACTCGCTGCGTCACCACTTTGCAAAGCGCCTAGCTAGGGTACCTATCAATCTGGCCCACATACATTGAGCAAGTCATGCCTCTCTGTTCTCAAACGCATGCGTTGGCGTCAGTACGCTTTGCTCATGAAGACCACAGGGATTGCCCTGAAACGGATATATTAGCGCCTTTGATGTCAATGAGACAAGAGCAGATTCGCAACCATGTTCCAAGTGCACAGCCATTGTTTATTCAATAAGTAGGCAACAAGAAGTTTCTTGCCTTTTATTCGGGGCCAAAAGGCTTCTCTCACGCCAACTTCTCGGAGCCCCAGCCAGTGCCTTCGCGGCGCGCCTGCGGCACAAGAGTCCAAGAGACAAAGGCCGGTGTGGGATACGATACTTTTCGCTTTAGCACCAAGTATGCACCTGACTGGTACTCCATACCTAGAATTCTCGACCATAACAAGGTGCTGAAGTCTTATGAAGGCAAGATGAGCCCAACTTGTGCCCGGATCAAAGAAAGTAGGCGCTGCCAATTCGTCAGCCGGCTGGCAACCTTCAAGTTCGAACCAAAACCACACACAATGCCCTGCGGCCACACCCACCCATGAACTAAGCCATCAATCTAGCAGCTGGGTTCCTGTCCAAAACTAAACACTGAATGAGGACGGGATACTCAGGGACAATCCCTTGCAGTAAACAATCTTGAGCTGCGCACTCTCCTTGTTCAATGCTCAAAAAAAGGGTGATGTGAAGACCAGCCTGGTCCCCGCCAACTCCAGAAAATCTCCGAGACCCCAGAGACAGCTCGCCGCAGATCAGTCCCCGCCTGCGCCTCCTCCAGGAAGTTCAGCTGAGCGCGGCAACGGGAATCAACGCTCCGTCATGGAAAGAATTCAGTCTTCCAAACCCCATCAGAAGATTACATCGTAGTTGTCGCTTGCCCGAACTGGAGGCCTGGTCTGGCAAAAATGGCGGCTTGCGAAGATCAGAAAGGTGAAACATTCCGGGAAGGGGCTTGGCCGCCTTCGGCCTCCAATGCCTTGCTTCACGATCAAAGCTACGCGCAGCCGCAACATCAGTCCCACGTGTGCTCACGAACTGATACAGAAAGAAGTAGTGTCTTCTTTGCCGCTCAAGCAAGGTTTGTCAACTCACTCCCCAAAACGCACACCAAAGCAGTGCAAGTCTCATTGGTGCGTGCCCTTCTCATGCCTGACACACTCTGCTTTCCATGTCAGTACAATTTATAGTATAATCTGTGCAATTCGCGTCGGCCCTCAGGGCCGGGAAGCGGGCAGACCCCTGCTCAGCTCCAAAACCTCCCCAACCCACCGTTTTTGGGCCGAGCATCCACCTAGCGCAAGTCTGCCAAGCGCATGCGCCTGTAGCCAACTCCGTTCAACCGGAAACGTTTAGGGGCCTTTCCCCAGGCTCAGCCCCTTATAGGCTAAGCTTGCAGCGCCGCCCAGCGCAAGCCAACCTTCACACCGAAGCTGCCTAGCCCAACCCCTGCTCAGCTCAGGCCCCAGCCCAAGCCAGAAGCTTCACGCAGACGGCAAGCATGTATGCTTTGAGGTCAGCCCAGCCAGCGCGCTCAACGTTGCCACGCGCTCGGCTCCAACCAGGCGTCATTGGCTCTCAGCAAGAACCCCTTGGGGAATGAACGCTGCAGACGTCACAAATTGCAAGTGTGGCAGGCAACCAATCCAACCTAGGATGATCCGGCCCAGTCCAGCTCATTCCAGCCACCTCGTTGGCCGGCCCCCGCGGCTCGAGTTCAAGTTCCTGGCAATACCTTGCGACGCAACCCCGGCTTCATTTGCTCAAGCAGACAGTATACATAATACTGCCAACACTCAATATCAACAACAATAATGATAGTTAAGCTTACTAATAACAACAATAATCTGGAGGGACCCTCCGTCAGGTGCGATGAACATTCGTCCGATTCGGCCGGCGCCTCTTCGTCGTCCTCGCCCCAGCAGCTCTTCACCTCCTCGAAGCTCTTCTGCTCCATGACCTGGCACTTCCATTTGGTTAAGACCCCTGGAAAAATAAGCTCAGGTGATATCCCCAACAGCATGCGGTGCTCTTTTTAGTGCTGTTGGGGAATAAAACATATTTCCAGTAGTGATAGGTTCCCTTTAAAACCGACAAGGGAAAATCAGAATACTCTTAAGCAAGCGGAAGGGCAGATGGCCAAGCCCCGAGCACCTCGGTTTGTCTTTGGAGGTTGGTGGTCCCGAGTTTTGGGTGCTTGAGCAGCACCAAAAGAACAGACAACCACCAGTTGGGGAAAATGGGTTCCCTCAAAAAGACAGACCCACTTCGGCTACTGGGTCTGTCTTTTGAGGATGCCGGTTTTGGCGTGGTTTGCCCCCACCTGTAGGGAACAGTCTCCGCCGAGAAACAACACAAATACAACAAAACACATACCCTGTCATGGGTGAACATACATGCGCAAGTTGCCATAGTTGTGCTTGGATGTGCGCCGCACTCGCTCTGGACACAACGACATGGACCGGCCCTGAAGTCATCACTGAGCTTCTCCTAGCAAATCGGCTGCGCACCTTCGTGTCAGTGGCCTCGTCGACTCAATATCCCAAGCGCCAAAACATCACCCAGCTCTCACCTCAACTTGTTACCTGGACCCTTTTTTCTGCCTTTGACCCAAACATTTTTCTGCCTTTGACCCAGAAAAAAGAGGTACAAAGGCAGAAAAAAGGAGTCCTTTGGGGGTCCAGGTAGTTGACTGCTCGGCCATGCGGAACGCCTCTTGGCCAACCAACACTGGAAGTCCGGAAGTCCAAGGCCCATGGAAGGCCGACTCTTTCGCGATCTTTCGCGCTGCTTGTCAATTGAGCAATGCGTGAAAGCTCCAAGTCGACAAAGAGTCGACAAGAGAGCACGGAAAAACAAAGGGTAAAATGAACTGCGACTGTGCCGAAATGATCATATATCAACATTCTGGGCATCCAGAGCTAGGTCCTCCAGTAGAGAGGTTAGAATAAGGGTACCTGTTTTCTGTCTATTTTAGTAGGGGAACCGAATCTCTCCCAAAAAAGAATCGGTAAAAGGGCACCTAGCTGGGGGACCTAGAGCCCAACGGATGTTTGCACGTCAAACCATCATTACGCCATCCCAAGCGATCGCTTGCTCCCCACACGCCCAAGTTGCCGCTTGCCTCTGCAACAGTCAGGGTGGTGCCCACACGCGCCGCAATGACGCCCATCGACTGCGAGAGACCGACTTCTGGGGTCGGGTATGATGGCCAACCCTGACGAAAGAGGCACATATATGTATATATATATATATTTATGTATATCCCTTGGAAAACCAGGTTTTTCCAAGAACACATTAAACAAAAGCGGGCATTTGGAGTGAGCCACGTCTTTAGTCTTGCTGAAGTTGCATATCTGGCATCGCCAACTGAAGCTCGGTCAGCACAGGTATCCGCCATAGCATTTTTGCTGGTTCGATCAGGGAATGAGGGAATGACCCCCCATATTGGGAATCCCTAGCTTGATCGTGGGTCATTCCCTGGGCATTGGCAAGCACCACCCACGACCGTTGCCTTCTCAAGACAAGGGCAGCTCCCATGATCAAAAAGTCCAAGCTACCCACGGTCATTTTGGGGCCAGGAATATTGATTAACCCCCACGTGATACAATCCGCCTGCGCTTAACAGGGCGGGCGTGCTTTTGCCACGGTACAAGCAACTTGCGATAAACAAATGCACAAACCAATCTCTACGACCACAAACTCAAGAACACCTAGAAGCAGAAACATTTACATACACAATGCGCATAATGCATATCACCATACCACGTTCTTCCACTTAGTCCGCTACTAGAGCCCAGTACTGTGAGCCCTGGACTAATCCCCAAAGCGAAGGATCCCTTAAACTATGAAACAGCCAGGGCTTTATCCAGGTGCCTATGAACTCTCCCAATCTGCTTTGGGCGGGGCTCAAAATTATAGAGCCAAGGCCTCCGACTTGGGTGCCTCTTGTTTGGAGGGTGCCCCCTGTTTTGCAGCTATTACAGGGAAACCCAACGAAACCAACCACCCATTTCAGTGGGTCCCCCAATACCCAGGTGTTGACCCTACTGTGGATGGACGAAATCCATTTCGCACCACTTGCAAGACATGGAAAACCATTGTTCATTGGTATTTGCAGGGGAATCATCATTCCAGGGCTTCTTAGGTGGTGCAGAATTCTGTCCATCCACAGTATTACCCTGTCCGCCACGTGCCTCCAGGCGTCGGTGAAGATTGATGGCGGCTGCGTGGGACTGCGTCACCGCCAGCACACGCTGGCCCTGGACATCGCTCCGTCGCTCCGTGGCTCGCGGGGATTCCGCGCGGGGATTCGGGTCGCGCATCCGACGGCTCGTGTTGCCTTCTTGGGTTGCCCTCCCACCAACTCACCTGGAACCTGATGTTCGGGGGTCCTAGTTTGGACCATTCTCCTTTTAAAGGGACCGGGTCCCTGTCAGGTTCCATGTTAGCACTCTGCTAGAAGTCTGCTTGACATCTGCAATGAAGGTTTCCAAACACTGCACGGGGCTTGGATAGAATCCAACGCCTTTGATGGGGCGTTCAGCAACTTGCGAGTATGTATAGGTAGGTACTATGATTGCTTGCTAGACCGTGCTGCCAAAGGAGATATGGTAGAATTTTTGCCTCCTTTTCCAACCTGCTTGCAGGCCAGGCAAGAAAACAATACATTTCAAAGGCTGGAAGGTTGCCAAGATTATCACTATACTTAATAACTCTTGGCCGCTCTTGGCCAGCAAAAATCAGCGGATGCCGCTGGGAAGTCATAAGTGTGAGGATGCCTGGAAGTGTTGCCTGAGCTCGTCAACCCTATCAGAACCGGCAAGCAGTAAACTCGACGCAGTCTAAGAAATCTTGACATGTCCTCTTGTTCGATTGAACCCGTACAGGTCGGTCAAGCTGCCGGCTGCGGCTGACAAACGCAGACTACCTAATCCATGGCTCATAATACTAGATGCAACGTACTCACAGTGTGCAAAACAAACTTCGACTCACTGCTGTTCGGGGGAGGGGCATAGGTGGTCACTTCACCCGCAGAGGCTTGCTTCACCCGTCACCCGTCCGCCACCTCGAAGGTCATTCCCATTGCCCGCAGTCGCTCCAACAGCACAGGCCCCAGCGCAGAAGCCACCCCGCCAACACCCCCCCCCTCCATGACCGTGTCTTGCAAACCGGCCCAGAACCTATCAAGTCTACCCCAGAAACCAGTCAAATTCCCGAGTAACCCGGTCACGTCCCCCAGTGGAAACTTGTCCAATCCGCCCAAGAGAATCCGGTCCACTGCTCTTCAGCGTCGCTGCCCTTCTGCAGCTCTACTGCGGCTCTCGTTCTAGCCCTTGAAGCCATGTGGAAACATATATCTATGATGTATATTACTGGGCTGCCCTCAGATCCCCCGCTAAAAGTTTGACTTTTAGTGGGATGAATGGAAACTACCACTAAACACTAAAAAGCTAAAAGGCTAAGGGGATGGCTGGGAGCTACCAAGTATAGTGTGAACCGAAACGCTGATGTCTTGAGAAAACAAAAGCAACACTTCAAGGCAAACCAACACACAGTACCCCAAAGCCAGCCAAACGCAGACTGGCCAAGCTGGGCAACGCGAAGCGTTGACAATAAATACAACGATCCCACGCACCATGAGTGAGGTCACTTCACGCCAGTATGACCTCGCGGCACCTCGACATCTGCAAAGCAAGTGCAAACTGTGTAACCATTTCATTCCACTTCAGAGCATGGACAATACAGCGATTGGTCATGAAAAAAAACGTCGCTTCCATACTGTGGACAAAATCCATTTCGGCACGTGGAAACCCTGGTTGAAACCAGAATGTTCATAGGTATTTACCTTGGGGAATCGCATCAGACACCAGGGTTCCTGATTCTTATGTTATCAAGCCTAGGCCACCTAAGGGAATACCTAGGCAAGCAGCAAACCGTTGACTACCTTTTCACACTGCTGTCAGTGATCTTGAAGTCTGTAGCGGCGGAGCATGTACAAGTACACTCATGCACAGGGTTGGAACCTGAATCCACACCCCCCTCATTTGAGATTGAGCAACAACGAAAATGTCGGCAGGTTTTGCAACCCGCTTTGATTCCATACGCACATCCATTGCACGTTGAAAATGGACATTACACATCCGTCGTGCATGCAAATTGCTACTCTCTCAGAAGGGCTCCGTTGTGATGACGATTGCATTCACCACCTTCCGCTAGTAGACCAGCCGCGCGAACTCCAGGTCGACCACTGCCAACTGCTCCAGTCCTGACTGCTCCAGTCCTGACTGCCCCAATCTCTCCAGCTTCGGCTTCTGGCAGCGGAGCTGGAGGCGGGCTGAGCAGGTTGCACAGGTCCGCGGGCGGGGTCCTCGGCGCTTTGCCTCTGGCTGCGCCGTGCGAGCTTCTTCGCATCGTCCTCCGCCTGGCATCGAGGTCCTCGGCTCCGGTTGCCCGGAGCGTAGGGAACTTCCCGCCAAAGGTGACAAGATTGCGCATCCCCGGGAGGATGTTGACCTGGTCGACGAATTGATGAAGACTCAGCATTTTCCCGTTGTACGAGAATAGCCATGGAAACGTAAGCAGGCTGGCGTCATAGTCCCCGACCTTGCCGCCGGTGACGTAGACAGTCCTCACATACTGGAGACCTCGTTTTCCATAGCGTGGCCCAACCCCGAGAAGTCGTTAATCGTAACTCCGTGGAAATTCGGGGAGGACACAAAACCTATAGATAGACATTTGGTAGAGGCTGTCGCGATTGTGTCCTTGCTCCACCATGCGAAGGGCAAAGGTCGCATCTTTGTCAAACCGATCCACCACATTGTCGTATCCAAGCTTGCGGGCCCTGCTATCGTAGTTCTTCGAAGCCTCAATCTGCTTGGCTTCGAAGGATGTTGCTCCTCTCTTCGCAACATCAGCATAGCCCTTGAAATCATTGATGAGGAGCTGATCAACCGT